GTCGTTTTGGAACACTAATGCATTTCTAAGTGGTTCAATCTGTGGTGGGTCTGCGCCATTAGTGTCTCTCCCATCTCTCCGTCGTTTTCAAAGGCGGCGGGGTACAAACAGAGCGAGACATTACCTCCACCACTCAGGCCCCAGCATGCTGAATCGGGGCGCCATAATGACCCGGCAAAGGCAAGATGGTATCCCGCTGCTCCCTGGTAACTACAGAGAGACGGAGGGTGGAATGTAGATTCACGACAGCCTCTGCCTGTGTGCCCTTTTGCAGCGATTTAAAGTAAGGAGACGTAGCTAATTCGGCTACATTAATCAGGGAAAAGCACATTACTGTGCAAATGACCGTGGGGAATGATGATCTGACAGTGTCCTGCCAGTCTGAGAGACAGATACACCTCGGTGATCTGATAGGATGACACGGCCACGGCCCAGGGCGGAGCAATCAGCTGAGGAAAGCCTCTCGCAGGTCTCCGTTCATTACAGACATGACCCGGATCACCAGTCCATCCATCAGCCTGAGTTTATCCAGTCACCGCCAGAGTAAATGACTTCATGAAGCTGGCTAAATAACAACTGGAGGATAGTCCAGATCATCACTTAACCTCTAACTTATATCTTGCTGCTTAAGTTATATCTTTACTGCAAATATCATCTTCAGAATATCAATAAGGACTATTGCGGAGGATGAAGCACACAGTTATTGCCCTGACAGAGAGGGATTTCATTGGAGACACAGAGCCTCTGAACTTAAACTCTGGAAATGTGTGTGAGTTCAGGAATGTTGGTTTTTTGCTGTTGGGAATGATTAGAAATCTGTTATGAAAGAAGCTTGGTAAGGATTGGGTGAAATCTGTCATGTAGGAGGAGTAGTGAAAAACAATGTTTAACACCAAATGTAATGGCGCGAAAATCAATGACTTAGCTGGATTGGATTACTTTTGAACCAACTGATTTAGGGAATAGAAATTAGCTTCCACACCTGACAATTCAGGAGATTTGGTGAACATAAAGTTGTTATCAGTGGCCACATGCTGCACTTGTCCATCTAGTGGCCTAAATTTCCACCAAATTTCACTTAAATCTGTTAAAATGTTGGGAAAAAACACTCAAACTCTTCTTTTCTTTCATGTGGTCTTTGCACTGATTAAACAGATGAGATATAATGTGTTAATTAGTAGTTTAGGGGAAACAGTTCACCTGGCTTTATCCAATGGTAACTAAATCCACCCACCCAAACCCACCAACAATTTGCCTTTGGACAGAGCAAGGCTAGCTGTGTCCCCCCGTTTCCAGTGTTTGTGCTAAGCTAAGCTAACCAGCTGCTGCAGCCACGAGAATGGTATTGATCTTTCTGCCAGAAAGTGAATAAGCGTATTTCCCAAAAATATCTAACTGTTCCTTTAAGGCAGAAAAACCTGTTCATTGGAGCAGGCTGTTTGGAGACAGTATCTGCAGATAAAGAATCAGTCGCCAACAAAATATGATCTTTCTGAATTAGATAAGGAAATATGATGTTCTGTGGTCAGAGAGGAGCTCATCCTCCTCTCAGCTGTAGATGAGATGAGAGATATATAATATCTGCATGTGTACAGGGTTGTGTGTGGAGGTGTTGAGGTCTGTCAAATGTACCCTAGTTGATTTCAAATGTTTCCAGTACATTCTCTACAGCAGACAAGGGTTGAAAACATTTGTGTGTATATATATCTGTGTCTGTGTGTGCGTGCATGTGTGTGTGTGTGTGTGTGTGTGTGTGTCTGTGTGTCTGTGTCTGTTGAAGTTTAGGATGCTGTGTATATGTAAGTGTCCTTTAGCACCCAGGCTGTACCGACCCTGTCACATTACAGGGACAGATGAGCTGCAGTGATGGAGCAGGCGGGCCGCGTGCACGTGATGGATCATTGCAGCAGGGCGAGGAGATGCAGATTTTCACTGTGACATTTCTTTTACTCTGGGAGCATTTCTCCGGCGAGCTGAAGTGAGGTCGTGCTCCGGCAGCTCTCGGTTTGAACACTTGCAGCCTGCGAGCTTCTCTCCTCAGCATTTCTGCTTGAGGTTTTTTTTCTTTCCAGTCTGCTCTTCGGAGATGGATACTCCCTTCGTTTTTAGATTACTGCTTAGTTTGTATTCCACGTCGGAGGTGCCAAGGATGCAGGGCGTCGCTTGTGAATTGCACTTGACCTCTAACACTTAAGCTGTGGATAAACACGTGTAAACATTACAGATGGCTCAACAGTACTTTTTCAGATACAAATTACACAAAACTGAGTATCTGCTAATACTGATACTAATCCAGTACTCATTTCTTCTTCTTCTTCTTCTTCTTCTTCTTCTTCTTCTTCTTCTTCTTCTTCTTCTTCTTCTTCTAAGCGCTTCATTAGCCACCATCTCCACTAAAAATGTGATGCATATATTTTAACAAATCACATAAGTTAATGTTGAAATGACTCAGTACTAGCATCAGATGTGTGTTCAAACTCTAAACACATTTTCCAAGGCATTTTCTAAGTTGCTTGGACAGATATGAGAGCACCAATTCAGAGGAGAATTGTTGTCTGCGAGAGACAAGGCTTTGTATTAAGACGTTTTCAAACGTGGATAGCGGCTGGTCATCCATCAAAATAAATCGCATGATTTTCTCGGTCTGTTAGCTTTTGCTTGTTGCTGTCTGGAGGGAGTTTCTAACACTTCCACAGACACCTTCCGACAATGTGTTCCAGCAAAACTTTTCTTGTTGACACATTTATTTCTTATTTTCCATAACAACAGTCTCTGTCAGTCGCACTGTAGAGGCCATATGCAGATACTGGGGAAGGCTCAAATTAAAAAGTTATCTCTGAGCAAAATCGGAGGTTTTGCAGAACTGTTCTGTTGATGTTCTTAAAAAAATGTTTAATTTTATTGCTTTTCATATTTTACTCTGATATCCAATCCAGTGTTTCTGCTGCTGCAGTATCAGACCAATACTGAGTAATGCACTAAAGCATTACTGGCTAAAGCTCGCATATGCAAACAGCATACCAATTTCCTCACTAAGAATCTAGACATGCAGTGAAACCGTCAGAAGTTCAGTTCCCCCTCGTGGCTGTCGTGCAGAGCCGGGATGTACACTCGAGACAGGGTGCGCATGGGTGACGTCGGGGTTGGGTGGTTCAGGGGTTATCGACGGTATTTATGTCACTGAGCAGACAGGGGTTCGGTCGAGGTGAGATAGACGTTAACTCAGAGGAGCGCAGTCAGGCTTGTGGCCAAATGCTGTCAGCCTAATACCAGCGAGCGGTCCGGGAGGAGCAGTCGCAGCATCTGGATAGTCAAGCTCCATTAGCCTCCTGGCTCTGTTTTACACCGGCTGCATTACAGCCTTGTTGACAAATGGCAGAAGAGGTGGTGTGTGCGATATGAATCACCTAACTCAGGGGACCTCCACCATGAATATCATACCCCCTTGCTCCCTGATCTTTCCCTCCTTCCCTCGCTCTCCCTTTCCTGGGTCTTGCTGCTGTGAAGTGTAGCAGTAGCCTGGCTTGGATTCAGTGGGACAGCACTAGTTCTCAACCTTGGTGAAGGACTAAATGGAGCCTCAGTCTGCTGTCCTTGCTGTCACACTGCTGCTGGGAGAAGATAAGCACTCCAGGCTTTAGGACACGCTGTAGGGCCCCCTTCGGTCCCTGCAGCTCTGTGAGCTGAGTAGTTGCAGAGGCGCTGCGAATAACGAATTAAGAAATCGTTACATGTGACGCGTGACATGCTTGAGTCGTATCTTGGATGACATTCAGTGTAATAGCTGTAACCTTTAAAACGCCATGTAAAGATGCACTTCAGAAGAGAGTGCAGTTGAAGTTTTCATTTCATTCGACATATTTAAAGTTTCTTCTTCTTCTTCTTCTTCTTCTCACACGACTCATCACAGACATCCAGGCGATTTGGAATATTTTTTTTTAAGATAACAAACAGTGATAGTGCCCCTCGTGTATGTAGCACTTGGACATTTTCATTGCTATAGAGAAAATATTTACCTCAAAGAAACAGTCTCTGTGGAGAAATCTAGAGTCCTGCTGTGGCCTGGTGATGAATTCCGGCTTTAGCCTTTTAAAGCCTTGTGCTGGCTATTTTGGCTTGTCCTTCTGTGGCCTGTAAATTGCTCATAGTGATATATGAAGATGCTGTCACTGCACTGTTAAGTAGACAGGTATGGCCCTGTGTGTGTGTGTGTGTGTGTGTGTGTGTGTGTTAGAATTAGGTTTATTTACTGGGTTGAGTTGCTGAAATAAACCATGCAGTGCTATATTTCTCTCAAACACACCGGAGCATTGAATGATGACACACACAGGGAGAGGCTGTGTGGTGGGTATTGATGTGTAATGCCCTTGGACCGAAGCCAAGACGGTGAAATGGAATGAAAGGAAAGTAGTCACTCTCCTGTTAACTCAAGGTTGTACTTTACAGGAGCTATATCTGTCTGTGTTGTCAGTGCTACGCTTAGTAAATGCGCTCTATGTGACTGCTGCTGCAACTATAAAAAAAACCATCTAAATCACATCTGCCTGTTGACTTTGAAGATTCCCACCAATTTGCCTGTATTTTTCCAAAGCTGATGCGGTATGTCATGGCTCATCCACAACTTCTGAGCTAGCGGGAGGCTGGCGTTTGGCACTCGCTTGTAAACACAGCCAGAGAATGAGTCCTTAGTGATCGGGACCCCTGCCAGCTCATAGAAGTGGCAGCTGATCATCCTCGGTTAATAGGCGCCCATAATCCTCTGTGACTGTCTTATGTTGTCCCCCGAGAGGAGCGAGACTAAGGCATGTATTTGCAATCAGCGCGCATTAAGGGCTGACAGTTTAACTGCTGCCATAACTGTAATAAACCAACCCACTGTTTGCATGCTGAATGGAAGCAAAATGAAAACTGTGAAGTGTTTTTATTTATTTATTTATTTTTTATCTCTAACAATGGCTCTCCCTGTCTTTCTCCCCCACGGCTGCTTGTCATTGCCACAGGAAGTCGAGGTTAGTGTCTCTTTTGTTGTGTACAAAGCACTGTCTGTCTTCACTTTGACGTCTGTTTCACGATGTAGGTGTCACCTGCCTGATGAGTAAGAGCTCATCTTGTCTAAAGAACAAAAAAATCCAATACAGTACAGCAATATTGCACCATAAAGACAAAAGAATTAGAAACAATAACATGTAAAACGGAAATAACAGCTTCCTAGAAAATAAGTAAGTATCAATAACAATAACAGAATGTGTGGTACGGTTGATCAGTGGAAATTCTCCTTTTATTTCTTCTTCTTTTATTCTTCTTTTTAGACACTCAACGATCAATTCATTGTAGAAAAAACAAGTGTGAACACAAAAACTATCCCTTCAACTCCTCACCCCGTGCACAGTATTTAAGATGCCTTCGGCTATACTTGTTCGGCTTAACTTTGAGAGCTCAGTCTTCGTGTCCCCTGAGCAGAATAAGACCAAGCGAAACTGAACAGACCTGATCCTCGGGGTCCTCTCTGGGCCTCGTGCCGAGTAGTAACCGCTTTATAGTTGATCCTCTCGGTCCTGACACATAGAGAAATGGGTCAGAATGGATACAGCGGAGGGAGGCTGATTTTTTATTATCGTTCCAGCGCAGTGCCGCCGGGGACACAATCTAAAAACCAGAGTTAGTTTGCAAATATTCCCTCTGCAACCGCGTGGGAGCGAAGATAGTCCAAGTTCTTTTATGAGATACATTTAAGCTTTTCAGAGCCTTGCTGTGGTTGTTTACTTAATGTTAGAAGGTGCATTTACAACAACAACCACAATAGTCATAAAAGGGAATATGATAAGAGCTTCAAAGAGTTTGATATAAAGATAAGTAAATATGTCAAAAAGTTGACATTACTGAGTCGGACCTTGGAAACAACAATGGACAAAACAATCTAAACTCAAGGTCCTCTTACTCGCCTTTGACTGTGACATTGTCTTCATGTGTCACAGATCTGTAGATGTTCAAACTCTTCATGATCGCAATGATTTAATCGGCTGATGAAGATCATGTGATAAGGTTGAAAGCTCCAGAACAAGCAAATAAGTGGAACTTGACTTTGTTTTGTGAACATTATCATTGTTTTCTGCTAAAACCATAAAGGAACATTTGACATTTTGGGAAATGCAGACATTCCCTTGCCAAGTGAGAAGATTGATACCACTCTTAATGTCTGCATGCTAAATATGTAGCAGCAGCTGGTTAGCTTAGCTTAGCATAAAGACCAGAAAGACTGTTGAAAGACTAGCTTCACAGTTTGGACAGTTTTTTATCAAGAAATCTTAGCAATTATTTAAAGTTTAAAGTTTATAGAGAGAAGAAATGAGAACATAAATAAATATTTTAAAAAACATCAGGGAAATCTAGGTTTTTCTTTGATTAGGAGGAGGACAAAACAAGAATACTATTTTTAAAAGCATAATTCAAAACTTAAAACTGAAACAAAAAGAGCCTGAAGATACAATAACATTTTTCTTGTTCCACTGAAGGGGAATAAAGATGTTAGCAGTACAAGAAACAGAGCAGATAAAAACAAGAAAGGATATATCAGTATAAGAGGAAAACTAAAACATAAATCAAACACAGATACAAATAAGTAAAACTATATATTTTTTTAGTTGACGAAGATGTAAATATTATTATCCCGAAGGTAACTCTTATCCATCCACCACTTAAAGTTATTAAAGATTTCATAGGACAGTATAACTGAATGTCTGAGGTGGAAATAAGCACTTGGTTACAATTCCCTTTTCAATGTTTATTATTTATTTTAACGGTCTGAAATAAAGATATATAAATCAATCGAACATACAGTATACATATACATTGAGTAAAAATTGTCACATAAATGAACAGAATTTATAATATAACGCTTGATTAAAGGTTTTGAGACAGTTTGCTTTTAGCCCACTTGCTATCCATTGAAGTATGTTATTCAACAGCGAGAGCTAAATGTATTTGAATTGCTAAACATTTAGACTGTCATTCATGGCGTGTAGCAGAGATTCTTTATCATTTTGCATGTAAATTTCCTTCATTATTTATGCTCTCCTGAATTATTCTCTTAATAACTGAAAAATCATTAAGCATGAGAGCGGGAGCATACCTTCTCTACTCTGTCGGCCAACATGCAATATTAAATTAACTAATGCAAATATATTTCCTTTCCAGGATGACTACATCAAAAACACGGAGGAGAACATGGGTTCTGATGAAAGTAAGTCAGAAAAAAGTCTGATTAGACCTGATTAGAAAAGATTTTTCTGCAGACATATGATGAAGTTCGGTGTGTTTTCCACTTGTGTGTGCCACTGTACTATATGCAAAGCTGGTTTGCAAAGATTTTCAGTATTTAAATGGCTTTACTGCCTTTACACATCAGCTCCAGACAATGAAATAGCACGTTACACATTATCCAAGTGTGGCTTCTTTTAATTGCAGAAGTTGTCTGAGGTCATGCAGCTTGTGGTGAGTGCAGGTCTGAGGTGTCAGAGCTTGTGGAGGGTGAGAAGGCTGTTGTGTTTCAGGAAAGGAGAGGCTGCGCCCTCAGTCAGATCCATTAGTTTGAAAAGCCTGCTATAATTGCCTTTGTTGCTGAGGGCTCAAGTCAGAGCTCCCACCAGGCTCCATTTACCTCCATGGGGTCTGTTTCTCGTCAACAAAAAAAAAAAAAAGAAATCTTACTTTTAGAAAATCAGCTGTGGAGGAGGAATGGAGACCATGTGAACATATTGAACAGTTCTTTGTCATTTCAGTCAAATGGTCTTTTTGTAGCCAACGGAAATGAAAAATGATACAAGGAAACGCTTAAAGGGTTCATACTTCTGTAAATGTTTCATCATCTTTCCAATTTGTCATTTTAAATAGTCAGATTACCCAAGTCATGAAAAAATAACCAAGTAATATTGAGTCAAGCATTTGAAAAATTCAACATCAGTGTGTCTTTCCAGGGACAGTGCACTTTATCTTTCACTTTTTTTTTTTGCATTCAGTAGAAAATATGTAGTTCCCAATGAAAACTGCTGATGACTTGAAATCTACTGCTGGGTTCAAACTATTAGAATTCACTGTATAAGCGAAACATGTTGCACATGTGGTTCAACTGAGGTTTAAAGAGTCTCTAATCAATATTTTAACATCTTTCAGCTCATTGTTTTGGTTGTCTGGCCCCACAAATTTACTGTTTTGGTTCACTCACTACTTTCCATGGCTTCGTTTTTAGCTACAGCAGGCCAGCTGTTTTCAGCAAAACACCTCTGATGAAACAATTCCATGCTACAGACAAAGTTAGCAATTTGCTAGTTAAAAAAGTGTAATATAACAATTTAAGTAAGAGCCCGATATTTCCCTCAGAAGTTAGTGGGGAGACCAAAAACAGAGCTAAAAAGAGAGTGAACATTGGACGTATACTGTATTCATCAGTTTGTCAGAAATACATTGTTGTAAAAGGTGATGATGTCTATGTCAGCTTATAAAGGGTATATTTTCACTACTCATATCATTTTAAATTTTAAGAGTTAACACATTCAACGGCATCAGGTGTTAAATGCATGTTTTTATTATCACACATTGCAGAGAAAAATTCAGTAACCATTAATACAACTATGAATAAATACAAGTATATAGTTATAGTCACCCACCTGCAGCAATGAGTAATAGTTTTAAAGAAAAAAAGAAATTGTAAGAATATCATAAATTAAATTCCAGCTGCAATTTTTTTGTAGGTTAATAAACTGATGCTACAGGAAGAGACAGAATTTTTAAATCTATTTAGTATTTTATTGTAAGACCAAATCATTTCGCAAAAGGACTCATAGAGTAATAAGTGATAGTTGATAATCATAAATGCAATTCTTAAAAAAATCGAAAAACATACAGTATATCTGTCCTTTTGAATTATTTCCCTGATAAATTAAATAAATTGGGTAAACAGGAAAATCAGACTTTGAAAAACTAAAACCCGTTTTCAAGAGAAATTAGAAACCAGATTGTACAACATCAGTTTAGACCGCTGGTTTGTTATGTTGCGATGACTCACTCGGTGTTGGCAGATTTTAAGATAACTCCGAGTTGCATCCGGTTCAGCTGCAGTTCAGCTAAACTGGTCAGTTTATAGAGGCACTATTCATAGGTGTTGTAGCCAATTTAGGAGGCCCTTAGGGCTACCAGTGTTGTTCCTGCTGCAGGGTGAGTCTGGGAGGTCAGGTGTTAGCACCACATCTACACTGCCTCACTTTAAAGTCACTGAAGGCTTATCTCAGAGAAGAAAGATGTGAGAGGAAGCAGCTCCAGACGTTATCCCAGTCATCTGTTTTTACAACAGGGCGAATAATTAATGTAACCTCAGGAAAACGCCTCAGTTGCTGTAGTGTGGGCAAGGTTCATTTGAATACCATTGATTTCATCCCCATCACAGCTCCCACTGGGACTAATTCTGCAGACCTAATTGATCAAGGTCTTCTTAATTGCAAATTCAACAAGACAGCGGAGACTCGGGCAAGGTATACCTGCAAGCTGCAGACAGACGTAACAGGAGACTTCAGACACCTCTGCAGAGTCTGCCCTGTGTCTCAAAACAGTTAGGAGACCACTGCTCTGACTTAACACATGAGCTGTCATATGTGACCTTGACATCCTTTATTTGTGCTGATGAATTAGACTTCTTTTGTGCCTAAAGAAAAATTCCACCAATTGGATCATAAAAACAAGTGGCTGTGATTATGCATCCATTTGTACAATAACTTCAGAAAATCATTCAGACATGATGCGTTAGAATTAGAGGTGAACGCGTGTGTTATATTCTCTCTAATTACAAGTAAATAATTTTATATCTCAATTGTAGTTGAATAAAAGCTATACAGGCTGCTGTGACTCTGCGGCCACCAATTAAGTCCATGTCTTCTTAGATGACAGTAATTGCAAATCCAGTTGAAATTAATTTACTAAAAGCTGTCAGATGGGTCCATCTCTCTCATGCTTTTAACATTTATCAGAATTAAATCTTTTCAGTTTCAAATGGCTGCTACTTTTTCTTGGCAGTCCATTAACAGGTCTTTTGCAGATTTTTTTTTCCTTTTCTTTTCTTTTTTCTTTTTTTTTTCTTTTTTGTGCAGAACCACTAAAGTACTTTATTAAATACATGCTCTGACAATCAGAATGAAAGGTTAATGAAAGGTTTTAATGGAGGATGCTGTCCAGCTACAAGACATCACTCTCAGCAGAGAATTCAGATGTGACCAGAGACAACAGGGACACAGCTGATCGAGTGCGGGGAAAGCAGCTGTGCTCTGATGTGTTTTTGATCGCAGCGCAAAAATAATAATAATCTCCGAGAGATTGGACGCAGGCTCGGTGCAGTCACCTGCCTTTGTTGACATGATTACAAGAGGATTTAGAGCCCATAATGGCAGTTATAAACGCCCCGGCCCAGCACTGAATTCTCAATGCAGCACGATGTGAACAACAACCGGGAGAGCAGGTGAGGTGAAAAACACACTTGATCTTTAATGCAAATTAAATCTTGTGTTTAGATTTCATTTTCAATATGTAGGAGTTGTACAAGAATACTGTATGAGGGATGTGCTTGGTTTTAAGCTGTTGCTTGGTGTAAAGGTGCTTATAAACACTGAACATATGAGGAACGAGAGAGCTGCACATCACCTTCTGAAGCTATACTGAAAACACCAAGCTGTGTTTCTATGGGAACATACAGTAAAGCAATCTTTTGTTACTTAGCATGATTTAAAAAGAAATCTAGTAAAAGGTTAGGACCTGAACTAAAAAGCAAAATGCTTATGTTTCTTTGATTACTTCATTTAAATTGAATATATCAGTATGAGACATGGCTGTTTGTTTTAAAAACTGCTGTGAGTGGAAGACTCTGCATTTTCCCCTCAGCTCTACAGGATATTTCAGCACTTTTCAACTTTTTATTTTGGTCTTCCAAACTTTACTGTTGTGATTCGGTCTCACCGCTCTCATTATAGCATAATTTGTAGATACTGCAGCAGCCAGCTGTTTTCAGCGAAAAATGTTTGACCCTCACTGTATGCTACCTGAATCAAATGGTATCAAACTGGTGAACACAATGGAGAAGTTAACATTTATTTTGTCATAATGAGGTGATAATATGCATTGTTGTGTTTACAGCTTGTTGCTGCTGGCCCAAGTGGCCAAAAAAAACACATAATGTGAATTTAATGAGGATTTAACGAAATTCAACCATCCCTCCTACAAATTGTGTTCAATGTTCACAAAATGTTGTCTATTTGTCTTTTTAAATTCCAGTTTTTCTTTATTAGGTTGCCAAATTTTTTGTTGCTGTGGCCTTTTTGACCTAGATTGCTGTAGGTTCAAATAAACCAAATTTAGAAATTTAGATTTACACATGCACCTGTCAAAGTGATCCAGCAACATTTGATGGCATTTAATCTCTAAATCGGTAGCAATAAGTTTATAGTCCAGACTCAGTGGTCATAAATTCATATCACTCAAAATTTTGTACAACTCAAGCCTTAACATTCCCCCCGACAGGAATTAATCTTGCTATAGGATGCATGATCGTCTTTCACCTTTTATGTATTTTAATGCAGATCTGGATTCAGAAGCAGATTAAAAATGTATTATTATTAAAATAGAATGAGGAGGATTACGGATTCTTGGTGGAGTTTAGTTCTCTGAGTGCTTTCTGGTTTTATTTGATTCTTCGTGCGACTGATGGCTCACAGCACAGCCTGTAGCTATGGTTTCCTTGTGAGTGGTTGGCAGGTGCAGCAACTGCTCACCGGTTAAAAAAACAATACAACTCCACACATGAAATTGGGAATAGTTTACGGGATATTACGCTGAAAAACATAGAGTTTGGTTCCTTGCCCCCACAAAAGTTTATGATCCGTGACTGGAACCTGTGTTAAAACCACCACTGCAATATACACTGACAATCTCTGTAAGATCCACCAGAAGGAGGCCTGAAGAAAACCTCGGTGATGAGTTCCATAAAGAGAGGACTGATGTGATCCATCGAAGCATATTACAAAAAGATGACTTTACCTTCTTTGTTGACAAGAGTCAAAATGATACATGCGGTGACAGTCTGGTATGATTTTTGGGAGGTTTTATGTCTTAAATCAAAAGCGAAGTAGGAGACAAATGTGCCGTCTGCCGTAGAGTCTGGATATTGTTCAGCCGCGGGGGTTAAATCATGACAGAGCAGAATACCTGTTGGAACAGATGAAGTGAATAAAAGTCAAGTGGTCACAAAATCTTTTATATGGAATGACTGTTTCAAGTTTATGAGCTATCAGCTCTGCCGGAATCCAGCTATCTGCCGAGCCTAAATGCTACGTCTTGTATTTTTATGAGTTTCTTCCCCGCTGAGAAGTTGCTTTTAGATAAAGGGAAAAAGAAAAGATAGACGGAAAAAAATAACACCATCTGTATGTATCACAGATACTCATTTAATTTCTTTTTGACTATTTATGAGTCATTGCCTTTGATATGGGAGCTGCTAGCTTATTTTTATACTAATACATCTGAAGTCCTGCTCTACTTCAGACTCAGCTTCCGTTTTATGAAACTCATGTTATTATTCAACAACAGGTTTCTTAAGATAAACTGTGGGATTTTCTGCTCACATTGTAACTACTACTGTACTTGCTAGTAAAATCTGGGCACAAATAACCCTAGCCTCATGTTTCAGCCTTTTAGACGATATGTAACAAAACCTTAATGCAACCAGAAAGAAGCCAAATCATCAAAATTTAATTCATTTTAATAACAGAAAATGGATAGAAATGTTTAATCTGCATCTGTATACAGATGTGCATCAAAATACACTGATAGAAACATGTATGTATGTGCACAACTTTAACTAAAACTGTGGAAATGTTAAAACATCTTTAATGTTTAAGAGTCTAATGACCCTGGTTGCCCTGACAACTACTGGTAAAAACATACTTTTCCCACAACCGTAGCGTGGTACTGTATGGTACCAAACTACATCACAGTGTCACCACAGCCGGCTGTGAGGTTGTGTTGGTGAGAGGTTGAAGAGATTCATACCCTTTCAATCCATAGAGGCCAGTGCAGCTATATTTCCTCATTGTGTTTTCCTCTCTCCAAAATATAGTGCAGACTTACTCTTAAAGCTATTCTGTACCAAAGGTCAACCAATTGTTCGGAACTTTTCACCAAATTAAAATTAACTCTGTAAAGAAGGTTTTGAGGTACCCAGCCCCATTTGTACTTTACGCCATGATTTAGTCACATAATGTTCCCTGCCCAAACCTTTGGAGAAAAATCTAAATGTTCTATCTTCAAAAATATTTTTTTGATCCCGCAGATATCATCTGTCTACCTGGATTACAACTAGCTGCTTTGTTGTGCTCTTCTTCTTTCGGAAAGTGTTTTTAAGTCCGCTGTGCACGCAGTGGCAGTCCGTGGAAATGGTAAAGAGTTTCAGAGCTCTCTTAACTTGTGAGACAGTCACAGTTTTGGTCAGACTTCTCAGCAGTTTTCCAGGCACGCAGCCTCCTACCAGTATTTTTGGATTCCCTCAGAGATGTCTTGTCATCCACTGATTCCATAAAAGTCCACTGTTTCTCATACCTCCCTCCTGTAGCATCAAAGTATCATCTAGTCGCCGGATTTGCTGGGATCTGGCTGGCAGACACCTCGTCTGTTGACCGTGTTGACTACAAAGCAGCTGCTCAAAGCTGACTCAGGATTTCACAGCTTAAATTTCTCTTGCTCACTGCCACTTGCCACTCACTCTTAAATTTATCTGAACATGTGAGCTTTGCGAGGCCTCTCCAGCAAGGCGGTAAATGGACTGGGACAGTGTGACAGTTTCGGATGGCATTGACCACAGACTGAGGAAGGTGAAGGACACAGTGCTATTTCCATCTCAGTCTATCAGTGGAAAAGAGGCTGGCATTGAACCATTCAACTCTCCAAAGATATAGTGAGAGATGCAGTGGAGGGAGGGAAGGAAGGAGGGAGGGAGGGAAGGAAGGAAGGAGGGAGGGAGGGAGACAGCAAGCGGGGGAGGGAAGAGGATAAGAAGAAAGGGAATGTGGGAGACAAAGATGGAGTGTGCGTGTTAGTGTGAGAGAGGGAAAAGGCAAGCTGGAGAGAGACAGTGATAAGTTGACATGGGGGAAGTGAGATGTGACAAGCCAAGAGAAAGAGATGCTCAATCAGTGCTGTCAGGTTTTCTCGCAATCAGAGACAGCCGTTGGAGACTGCAGGCAGTACTATTGACGATGGGCTGTTTCGCTAATGACAGCTAGGCGTCCATGTTTTCAGCAGTGCTGACTATAAAATCAATGGACTCATTTGTGCACACTGCTAGAATATTTTTCATTACACATTTCTTGATTTTTATTGCACACGCCTTTGAAAATGATAGTTGTGCGAAGATGGAAGATCATTAGAAATGGTGTAAATATACAGACCTTGATCATACAGCACGTAAAATAGTGGCACTCCTCTTTTCTTTTCTTTTCTTTTTGCTGTTTAACACATGCTCCTTGTCAAAACATGAATAACAAACAGACAGAAATTCAGTATTTTTCTCTTGGTGGTGGCCAAAAAAATAGAGAATTAAAGCAAAACTCCTCAGCTGTGATTGACACCTCTGGATTTTCAGTGCTGTTGTTTTGTGTTTGCAGCCATGGACACCACCAAGGACCCATGCCAGAACGTGAAGTGCAGCCGCCATAAGGTGTGCGTCGCTCAAGGCTACCAGAGGGCCATGTGTGTCAATCGCAAGAAAGTGGAGCACAGGTAGGTGGAGAGGTGTTTTGTGTTTGCAAGACGTGCTGCCGGTGTTTTTGAAGATTTCTGTGTGGACACGACGGACATTTCTGTGGCACCAGCTGTTAGCTGTGCGTCAGTTGAAAGCCTTTCGATGTCTGGTTGGAGAGCTATTGATTAAACTCAGTAACAGGGCCAGAGAGTGTCATGAGTCAGGAGTGAAGTCATTTTTTGATGGAACACTCATGCTGAGCAGTGACTAATTAACTGTGTAGATGGGAGGTGGTAAAACCGAACATAGAGAGTTATGGAGGCAAATAAGGGCCATAAAGATTTCATATGCAAACTGAATACCTAATTTTGAACTTTCATCACTACAGGATACTTTTTTATACCACTGAAATATTTGGCTTGGTCAGATCTGAGTTGTATATCTTATTTTAAGTGTCTGAATTTGACCGAGGCGATTTGAGTAACTGGACTTTTTGACTTGAGTTGAATTTTTAGATTTGAATTCAGCAGAATGAATTTGAGCAATTTTAAATCATAAAATATAAATTTAGAAAATTGGCTACTTGAATTTTCTATCTGAATTTGTGAAGCTTAAAAAATGATGTGTACTTGAATTGAAAGTTTTGAAACTTGCAACTGACAACTGAACATTTCAAAGAGGGGAATTCACGCCACATTCATGAGAGATGGTTTTCTCAGTAGAATATTTCAGTGCTATAACTTCATTGGTATTTGAATATTACATTAATAATTAGTTTAATTATTCAGTAGTGATTAAATTTTAAAATCAAGTATTTAGTTGCTTTGTGGCGATTATTTTCTCCCACGTGAGCTTCATACATGGCTACACTTGCAATCATGACAGCTCTGCTCCTATCAGACACAGAGGAAAGAGATGCTAGTTTAATGGCTAGCACTTAATGTCAAGGGTGCATACCTCATCATCAATTAATGCATAACTAATATATGACTCATGATGATCTAATGCATGATGTATCATGAACTCCCGTGGCTCAGTATTAATTATTAATGATGCCACTATTACTTTTAGTTTAATTACTTAAAACTACATGGATCATCAGTTTGTGAACTCATACATATATGTAGTTAAACCAGAATAAAATTAACATCTCCAAAAGCAAGATAGCACCAGATTATTACGTTTGAAGCATACAGTATGAAACTGGCTGAAGAGACTTTGATCAGCATATACTTCAGCTATACTGTGCATTAATGGATGTCCCAAACTCTGCATTTGGTCTGTGTATTCACACATACAGTGTGTTTACAATCTAACCACATCTCAGCAAAGGGCTTGATCAGATTGAGGCTTACACTGCGTTCAAGTCATTGTATGGACTGTGAATACCCCAAACAGAAATGTCAACAAGCCTGTCCCAAAATCACTGAAAATCATCATCGTAGTTCAAGCGTATAAAATCCAATATTAACACAAATATAAGAGCTAATTAAAGAGGATCATTGTAACCTACACATTTTGCTTATTTCTTTAACATATGAACAAGCTGCTGTAAATATGTAACATAATTTAAAGCTGCTATAATTGTCTGCGTGTATGTCGCAGAAAGTTGTAAAGACCAAGGTTATTGTACTTCAGCTCTTTTGACAACCCTGGTCTCATTTTATGGGCATAGAAAAATGAATATAAGGCCTGTATTAGTACCTTGACTGTGGAAAACACTTAAGAGTCTGAACTAATTCTGTGTCAAAAGCTGTTGCAGTGATATGAGGATCCTCAACACAGGATCAGGAGCTCGTAACAATAAGGTGATAACGGTAAATGGTAAAAAAGCAAGGTAACAATAGAAAAGTCTGTGAACGGACTCAATAACCTCAGTTACACAGCAACATTTTGGTAACATAAGCTACCAGACAAAGTAAGGCTATAGCAGCGAAAGCCTTCAGCATAGTAAGGTGAGTACTTGGGTTTGTTTTAATGCTCAAAAATTTCACAACTTTTCATTTGTGAGCAGAGCAGTTTGTTATTTTTATCTTTTGAAACTTATATGGTTTTGCTTTAAATGACTAAAAAGGTGGACAATTGGCAGTAGCAGTGGCAATTTTTTAAAGGTTTTAATGAATTACATTTAATTGTTTAGACTTTTTTATGACCCTAAAATGACACTGAACCGAAAATAGTCCATTTTATTGACTGTCACTTAGCAACAGTGTTTTTACGTCTCAAACCTCTTGAATGCTGAGTTTACTGTGTACTTGACCTCTTACGTTGAAAATGATGTGTCACTGAGCTGTCTATGTATAAAACAGGGCAGCTTTAGAAAACATGGTACAGACCTATCAGTGGAGGAGGTTGAAAACATGACAACTAAAGAATATAGAATACTCTTTCACATTCTGGTCACTTAATACAGTGTAATACAGGGGTTTATTCGTGTATTTCAGATGTTACTCCCCTGACAAAGACCCTTTAGTTTTCTGTAGTAAATCTCATGAAAAAGCGTTTATCTGTTCCCTCGCCCATTCATCCCACTTTGACTGAAAAACAAATGAGCGGGGTTGCAGCCTGAAAAGAATTAATGGAGTGAATTATTACTACCTGCAAAGCCTATCTGCAGCGGCAGGCATTTATCTTTTTCAATAAAGTGCTTCATTTACAGAGTCACTCCAGAGATGAGAGAGACTGTGTCGAGTAATGGGTAATAAGCACGAACGCAACTGCACTAAACCATCCCAGCATCATTAAGTAGCAGCCTCAGAAGTCGTGCTGCAGAGAGCCTAATGCTTGTGCTCACTGAACATGTAGTCAATCACCATGTAAGAGGAAAGCAAGCAAAGGGAAATTTTATGAAGCAGCGCATGCAAATATTAACAGGCAGATTACGACTTTCTGGTAATTATGATCAGAAATGTCTGTTTCAGTTGTATTGATGTTGTAGTTTACAGCAGAGACGCCAATGAGTTGTAGGCTAATAAAAACATCTTGTTAGAGAGGATTTGTAACAGTAACTGTGTTTGACCTCGGCAAGATGGTTGACATTAAAGGGCCAGTTCACCCAAATAACAGAACAAATATTCTTATTTAACTGTAGTGGTGTGTACCCACGCAGATAGTTTTTGTTGTATTAGTCCGGGATTTTAGATATCTGCCTCTGAGATTTCTGCTACTACACCACGGATGGAATTTCCTTTGTGCTTACAGCATTCAAAAATTACATTTAAAAGATTCAACAGCAAAGTGTCTACTCCAAAACAGTGTCCCATTACATTACAATCATTTTGCAGACGCTTTTGTCCAGGGCAACTTATAGTAAGTGCTTTAAAAGTAGACAGCAAAAAGAGGTAGATGTCAACAACAATTGGAAGTGCATCTCTCTCGAACAAAGAACTGAAAGCATGTTCAGTGCCACAGTACAAGTCCACTTACGTTTGTTGTTGTTGTTGTTTTTTTTTTTTTTTTTTTTTTTTTTTTTTTTTTTACGAAATGACACATGAATGGTGTGGGGTGTTGAGATGTTGTGTGAAAAGCCAGCAGAAGAGGATGAACAGTGACTCTGCTATCCTGGTGTCAATACAAGACAAGACAGGCATCTGTTATCTGTTACTCTGGATAATCCACAGACCTCTCTGTCAACACTTTTCACTGGGACTGCTGTCTACCAAATAAATAGTCCCTTGGAAAACTGTGAAGCAGGAATGCTGTTTCTGGAGATAGTTTTTAGCCATGATAGAGGCAAAACTAGTGAAGGCACTGTTGGCTGGTTGGTCCACCACTGTGGTCCAGACTGAAATATACTTAATGTATTTCAGCATATACGTAGTGAATTGGCACAAAAGTTGGTACAGATTTGGTGATCCCATCTAATGTTACCATGAGTTTGATATTTGTGAGTGAAACTCCTGAAACTATTTTGGATTGCTATGAAATTTGGTACAGATATTCTCTGCTCTTCTTCAGGATGAATTGCAGTCATTTTGGTGATCTTCTGACTTTTCATATAGCAACATTATCAGGTCAAATTTTTGTTAACCCAGTTAGCTATTTAATTAATGACTACCTCCAAAATGAATGACAGCTTTTAGTAAATTATCTCATCAACAAAAACTATTTAATCTATTGTCATGACATTAGCACAGTAATTGGTATCCGTGTCAACCAAAGGATGAATTAAAATCACTTTCATGATGGTTTATGCATAAGTACCTGCAAAGCTAATGACATCCCCATTTATTTCAGCTGTACTTTGTGTTTACTGCTATTTAGCAAATGCTAGCATGCTAACATACTAAACTGAGATAGTTAACATGGTAAACATCATACCTGCTAAACATTGGCATGTTGGCATGTGAGCATGTTAGCATTTTGCTCAGAGCACCACTTTGCCTGAGTACACCTGCACAGAGCAGCTAGTTATCTTGTTAAATATAAATTTTAATCGCTGCTCACTGAAACTGAAAACTCAGCTTCTCAGAGTACACTAAGAAAAAAAACAGAGAAACGGTACAGACTTGTACTGTAGAATTGAACATGCGTTTAGTTGTGTGTTTGTGTGAGGTGAAATCTAGCTTTTGTTCCTATCAAGTTTAAATCCACTTGTTTTGCACAAAAGTGTCTTCAAAATAAGTTTAAGGTAAAATGTAATGATACTGTTTTGGGGGAAGACACATCGCTGTATGTATTTTTTAAGCATTGTGAGCACCACAAACAAAATTTATACTGGAGTAGTAACAGACATCTCAGAGACAGACATCCATTGGCAAGTAAAACTGTTTGTATGTATAGATGGGGTAGAGGTAAATGAAAAGGTGTTTTGTCTGTAATTTGGGTGGACTGACATTTTAACTTTTCCTTTTTCCCCCCCTCTAATGTTCAGAGTGAAACAGCCAGGGAATCTGGAGGCCCATGAAAGCGGCTGTAAGCCTTGTCCTGTGGCCGCCTCCTCACCTGTATGTGGCTCTGATGGACACAACTACGCCTCTGAGGTAAAAGAAAACACTATGTTCTGCACCGGCATCTCTCTTTGAGAGCACTTAGACTTGAAAGCTTTGATAATTTTTCTTTTGCTTTATTACTGGCTTCTGGCTCCATAAAACCCTGAGAAGAAATGGAAAGTGGCCGTGTCATCGTTTTAAATAATGAGAGCAGTCCAGTCAAGTGCTGTTTCCTGCTACGCTGACACATACGTGGGCGCAGCAGGCCAGCACAGTTCATCACTGCTCGCAGGAGGACAAGTGCACCAGCTCAACGTGGCCGTGTGATTAATGACTGACGTTGTTTTGAGCGGCATCACCGTACACCGGCCACTACCAGGACTCTTTATTGATTTATGTATACTTCTTAATTTTGACCTTGCATGAGAAGATGGCGGAAAATGACAGCTCATTCTTGCTGCCTTTCTCTAAGTGCTGTGTCTCATCTGAATGAGCAATCTCCCTTTCCTGCGGTCACCCCCATAAATATTTTAACTGCATCCATGCCGCTCTCTCTCTCTCTCTCTCTCTCTCTCTCTCTCTCTCTCTCCCTGCCCGTACAGTGTAAGCTGGAGCAGCAGGCCTGCCTCACAGGCAAAGACCTGAACGTCATGTGTGCTGGCTTCTGCCCCTGCGCCACAGCCTCCGTTACCATCACAAATACTGACACCAAACGTGGCAAGTGGCATCTTAATTTTACGCATCTTGATTTCGGGATTCACAGCTCCCTGTCTGGATCACTCTCAGTGTTTTCATGAGTCAGAGCTTCGAAAAAAAAAAAAAAAAAGAAGAAAGTTATGATACACTGGTGGCCACACATGGCACGCTGTGTGTAGGAAAGGACTGACTCCAATTTCCTGAGACAACCAATCAACCTGATGCTTGATGTTTAGAATCAATACTCAACAATTTCAGAGATTACTGTTAGCCAAATATCCCCCATGTGGTTAAACTGCTCTTTCAATCATGTTGTAATTAATTATTTAGAGTGTACACTATCTATCATAGCAGCCAAACACTATTGATTGTCAGGGCTCTCGGGCACGTGAAAATGCCAATTGATCAAAGGGATGAAATGTTACTCCTGTTTTTCATCTGTAGCCTGGAACAAGTGTTTAGCCTGAGACTAAAAGTGGATTTTTATTGGATAACAGCAATTTGCTGTAGTAGAGTTAATTGCAAAATAATGTTTTCTTTGATTAGCAGATCATACACTTAACAAATCACAGCATGAAAATCCAACAGTGCACCTCAACAGCTTTGCAGTGAGGGAAACCTGTGCCTTATGTTCTGTGCACTGTACATCAGTGAGAGCAATATGAAGCTGCGCTGAGTCCCTTGTCTGCTTTTTGGGAAGGTGAGTCAGATTGCTATTAAGTGCCTGCCAGGGTTTTAAATGCAGGGATTCCCTTTTTTTTTCACTCCTTTAGAGAGCTGCACTGGCCAGGACCTGGCAGACCTGGGTGACCGGCTGAGAGACTGGTTCCAACTCCTTCATGGAAACGCGAAGCGGAATAACTCTGGCAAGCTCGGAGCTGGCACCGCTTCAGGTTAGTAACTCACAAAGCGGCTTTATTCTCCTCCGCCTCCAAACTTACAACTCAATTGTCTATGCAAGGAAATGTAGTGTAAACAGAAGGAAACTTAAGTATTATGCAAATTATTTCTGACAGCGCTGGACAGGAGCCTGGTAGCGAGCTGCAAGGACTCCATCGGCTGGATGTTCTCGAAGCTGGACACCAACAGTGACCTGTATCTGGACCAAGCTGAGCTGGCTGCTATTAACCTGGATAAGTACGAGGTCTGCATCCGACCCTTCTTCAACTCCTGCGACAGCTACAAAGACGGGAAGGTCTCTACGGCGGAGTGGTGCCTCTGCTTCTGGAGAGAAAGTGAGTGAAGGGAGCCCCACTGAGATTTGAGTCAAATCTCTAAAAGGGTGAAATGATAACAAGGTTACATCAGTGAATGGCAAAGCAAACTTTTCTAACTGTGAAGTGAGTGGTCTGTAGTCACTGAAAAGTGCCCAGACATCTGTTCTGACACATATGTTGTATGTTTGAGTCTTTACCTCAACACCAGGGGAGCAGCACCACCCTTACAGGAACAGTTTGATATCTTAACAAAGTGTATTTCCCAAAATATTGAACTATCCCTTCAGCCAAGTCTGACAGCCGACAGCAGATAGCTATTTTAAAGCAGGATTTGGCAGCCTAATCAACATCTTCAAAGCACATTCTGGTTGTCTGTTGCTTCTTTATATTTGAGACTTCAGCAGTTTGTGCAAACTTGTGCCTGAATTCTCCATCCATTCATCTCTCATCCACTACTTATCCAGGTCCAGCAATATTCCCCAGCATGGTTAGCAGTTCTTCTTCCCTGCTGAGAACAATCTTGGCAAGACCTCCTTTATCTGAGTCATCTGACAGTTTGCGAAAATGTCTGTCTTGCCAATTGACAGTCCTCCTCCATGTCCTCAATGAACTCTGCCCACTCTGCCCAAGTTTTGTCTCTCCACCAGAAAACACAGTCCTTCCCTGATTTAGGGCTCCCCTGGGCTCAAACCAAGCCCCAAAGGCCTCCGTCTTCAGCTTGACAGCTTCCTTCACTGCTGGTTTCTTTGGTTGCCACTGCAAGAGAAACCAAAAACTTTCCAGCCACAAGTGCAAAACAACAGTTTCTCACAATGGAGGCTTTGAATAACACTATGTCCTGTCCTGGGATGCAGTAAACATTGGCAGTTCCTCTATGGAACAAGCAGCCACACAGATGCAGTTTTCTCATTCTGTGGAAAAGAAGCTATAAATCTGTTTTTACCCATGTCTTTATGGATTTTTATTCCACATATGAATGCAAAGTAGCAGATGACATATGGTATATCAGGTGCATACCTCCTATTCTACAACTTTACATGATTTTAAGATTTCATAAAAGGTCCCCACATCGTAATACTGGAGGTGTTTTAAATAAGTGGAAATGTGGTTTGAAGTCTGGTTTGATTTGGTGTCAATATTTTGACAAAGAACTACAGGTCGCTCTTATTGAGAAAAAAACTATCAACAGCTTATTTCATTTGCATAGAATTTGAAAACAAATCACCAAAGTTACATTTTGACACTGTCAATTGCTTTTACTTTAGAAGTCATGTTCTCTACATGTAGTAGTTATGGTGTTAATATATATTATAATATAAAATTATCAAGTGTCTCTATGGATGTGTTTTGCACAGATAACCTGTGCTCACAGAGCTATTTACACAGTGCACATGTGCACCATTTGACCTTTACTAAACAAATACAGGATATTCCTGGCAGTAACCTCATTTGCACGCAGATTATCCAATTGATCAGGCATTTAACCTGCATGCAATAGGTTACACTGACACCCTAATCAATTTTTCATCTCTAGCCGCTGATAATTATAAACTACTTCACCCGTAGCCAATATGTAAAAATGGTTTTATGATAATGATTTGGACACATACTATATACAGGATAAAGAGTATAAAGAAATATTTACAAACCACTGTAACAGGCCTTTCTCTTTGTGACTTGACAATGAAGCTTCAGAGAACTGATAATGAACCATGACTTGTTGTTTTGTGCAAACACACCAGAAATTCTTTTCAGATGAGAAAACTTTCTCCTCTTTGTTTCTGTTCCTATCTTTTCTAGAGATATCTTCGTCATTCTCAGACTACATCCATATGTGCTTTCACCTAAGCTCTCGACAATCGATCAGGCTCTGAGGGAATGAAATATAAGACTTCTTAAACAAATCAATATGGGCAAAAAGTGTAATTATGAAGAGCATTGATTGAGATAAAGTTTGAGGGCGAGCAGTTTCAGGTATTGTCTGTCATCACTTTTCTTCTCTGATTCTCACAGAGCCGCCGTGCCTCGCTGAGCTGGAGAGGATCCAGGTGCAGGAGGCGGCCAAGAAGAAGCCTGGTAAATACATTCCTCCTAACAGCAGCGTGAAGCTCAAGAAGTATTTGACTGAACATTTTTAAACACCACACGTGCAGAGAAACAGGAAATTACCACTATGCGCCAACTAGCTGGCGTGCCCCCGCATCCGCTGCGGTGTCTCTGGGTGTACCTGTGTAACAAGGCGCTTGCAGCAGCAGGCGAGGAGCTGGAGGAGCCTCATTAAAGAGATCACAAGCTCACGGCTAGGATTAGGCCCTAATCAGGCTGGGGGGGGGGGATTAAAGGGCAGCTCTGGCTTTGGGAAGGAGCAAGGCTAACGTGCCTGCTTGGATCCCTGGGAAACCCCACGTTGCAGTATCAACCCAGCATGCTCAACATGCTATACAGCTGCTTTCCAGTCTTCAGCTCCAGAGATGTGTTCTTCCATCCCTGTAGCCCACTTGTCTCATTGCTTGTGTTTTCTCTCGTCCTCGCGCAGTGGCTGGGGGTGGGGGGTGGGGGGTGGGGGGTAGCTTGTTAGAGAACTTCACTTCAGGTTTGACAAGAGCGTCCTGAGGGAGGCTGGAACAGTGGAGCACTGTCACTGAGTCTGTCACTACATTTTTACATGCCACTCTCACAACACAAGGAAACACGCTACGCCAACATGCTGTATGAAATCACATCCGCCAGCATATGCATGCTTGTGTAAAACAAACAGGGTGAACTCTCTCTCTGTCTGCGTGGTATCCTCTGCCAAAAAGCTGCTTCTCCGTCCTGACTGATGGTCTTATCACAGGTTCACTAAGGCGTGCTGGCATTCTCGTTTATGCTGCGCTCATCTCAGGCATCAGCATGAGGCAGCTATGTGTGCTGAGGGCATAAATATTTAACATCGTGGTGTGTGTGTGTGTGTGTGTGTGTGTGTGTGTGTGTGTGGCTGTGCATGTCCTTTCAGGGATGTACATTCCCAGCTGTGATGAGGACGGCTACTACAGGAAAGTACAGTGTGACCAGAGCCGAGGGGAGTGCTGGTGCGTCGACCAGCATGGTGGAGAGATGATGGGCACCAGAATCCATGGCAACCCCGACTGCGGTAAGAGAGGGGCATTTGGCGAACACATATTTCCTCACACTGTGCACTACAAGAAAATCTCCTTCTTATAAAGTCATCTTTTGTTTGTGTTGTGATTTTTATTTCTGGATTTTGGTGCACTGACCTGCCTTATTCTTTCATGTTTCAAATTACAGACACTCATTTCGAGAAAATTATTGATAAGATCGACAGGTTGTAATATTCTTTCTTCATCTGCTGTTTTTTGAATTTGTTTTAATTAAGGAATCAGTTACAGACAAAAATGATTGAACAGATGGAGTTTTTTGGCAGTGTAGGAAATAATAACTGCATCTGTTCAAAACCTTGTGTTAGATCTCAGTATCAGGCGCTGAAATGGATGGTTATTTTTGTTATCAATTACCCTCTCAGTTATTCTTTTGACTTATCAGTTTATTTTTAAGTCAATTAATCTGTCAAATGTCAAAAACTGTGAAAAATGTCCATTAAAAGGTCTCAAAGCTCAAGGTGACACATTCAAATTCTTTGTTTTGTCTGACCAGCAAAACTCGAAGATATTCAGTTTACAGTGATATAAAACACATAACAATACATAACAATTTCTTATATTTTTACCTTTTTCCAGATGAAGTGGCTGGATACTCTGGAGATTTTGGGAGCGGTGTTGGATGGGAGGATGAAGAGGAGAAGGAGGCAGAGGACAACGGTGAGGAGGCAGAAGAGGAGGAGGAAGAGGAAGGCGAGGCAGATGATGGAGGATACATCTGGTAGAACTGTCTGACCCCACGCAGAGAGCCATGTCACAGCTGCTGGCCTGAAAATCTACAGGAATGGCTCTCTCCTAGCAGCAAAAGATTTTGGGATCGGACTCAGGAGGCATGGAATTATGTATCATCCTGGTGGGATATGTGGTGCCGGGCAGGTCCAGTGATGAGATAATGACCAGTTTTTGTCTTAGATAGGTGTAATTGCTTCATTCTCTTCTCTGTTTTTTGAGCAACAGAGCTTTTTGTTTTGCCGTCCTGAAAAGCAGGACCCACTGACTACTGCGCCATAGGTAGCTAAAGTCCATCAGAATTCCTATCTTGTCAGACCGCCATCTATGCATATAGAGATTACCAGTAATTTTGTATTGTGTGAACAACTGCTTGAGTATTAGAGCCGCCGTCCCACTGGAATGACTAGAGATCAGAATTTAAAGGAATAGTTCAACAAACGCTTTTTTGCTTTCTTGCTGAGAGTTAAATGAGAAGATTGATACCACTCTTATGTCATTAAGTTAAATATGAAACTAGCAGTTACTTAGTTAACTTAGCTTGTTTTAGAATTAAAATTGGAAATGGGGAATCAGTTGCCTGGCTCTGTCTAAAGGTAAAACAAAATCCACCAACTAATCTGTACAAAACCAAAAAAGCATGTGGTGGATGACCAAGGAAGTCACTGTGCCAGTGAAAGAAATATTCCAGCACACAACATCCTGTAAAAAACGCAGACTGTCATTTTTACACTTTTTGTATGGATTAACCAAACGAGATATAACGTCTTGATTAGTGAGCTGTAAAGGTGCTGGTAGGTGGGTTTACTTGCTATTTAGCTTAGTCAGATTAGCTGTTTTCCCATGCTTCCAGTCTTTAAATGACTGAGATGGATATTTTCATAATAATCAGATGAAAGTGTGAAAATGTGACACAGCTAGTTTTTTTTAGCTGTGTGGTCTGTACAGGCAACTTCAGGAAAAAAACATTTCTTAAAAATCCACTTTACACTTTGTGCTCAGCACCAAACAGCAGACAGACACAGTGAGCAACTAACTGGTGAACATAGTGGAGTGGAGACCAAAAACAGAGCTAAAAAAGAGTAAATACTGGACTTAAATTCATCAGTTGTACAGAAACATGGCTCCATATGAAAGCTGAATGTGTAAACAAGCAACTGTGATGATATGTTGATGTTGCAAGTGTACAAAAAAAATCAGTTATTGCAGGTTTAAGAGAAGTAAGATAACCATGTCCTGGTTATAGCTTCATAGTTATTGTACAGACAGAGAGTGGTATCAAACGTCTCTAACTCTCAGCAAGAAAACAAAATGTCGAACAGTTCCTTTAAAGCAGTTCAGAGCAACGTGGTAATGTATTTCTTAACTGATTCTGCTTCTGTATATAAATCCAGTGTAAATTATCTATGAAGCAAGCTTAGAGGGTTTCAGGTTACTATGGTTTCAAGCCACCTTTATGATAAAGGTGCACCGCAGCTCATGGCAGTTTTTAAATTGTACATGCTTTACAAATTAAGTGGATACACACAACGATACAGGACCTATATATTTCCAGTTGGATTACTTTTATTGAAAATCTGTAGAACTGCACCTACAGTAGAAACCACTAATCGCTGTCCTCTGCTATCTCTGAAATCATGTCAAAGAATGTGGCACAATTACGTTTTATTCTGAGTTTGCAACTTGAAAATCTGTATTTTGTGTTTATAAAAAATGTGTGCATTACTTGAAGTTCTGTGTGTATACTTGAATTCACATTGTAATTTTTTTTTCTATGAGAATATTGCTGCCATGTCTTCATTCATGCTATTGATAGGCCAGACATTTGGTTGTTTTTAGTATTGCATGTTAGTGAATAAGAATGTACTTCTAGGCTGAGCACTTTACTAATAAAGGCACTGGAGCCAAGCTGTGTGTTGATTTTAGTCTTTTCTAACTATTTCAGGTCTGAGAAGGGTTAATCTAGGGACAAATTAGGTTGTGTTTGTGGCTACTATGTGTAACACAGATAAGTTAAATCAGCAATAAAAGAAATAAATATACCTCTATGTTAATGCTGAGAAAATCATACAGTTCCACCTGGAATAACAGCCAATAAAGTCAAGTTCAGTTTCAGTTTAGCCAATCAGAAGCTTCAGTCCACCTCCCAGCGGCCTACTGACTGGTCACGTTGGTGAGAGTTTAAGGGACAAGACGCAGTGTTAGCTGAGCACAGCCTGTTTATCAAAGTGGTAAGAAACTCGGGTTAAGCAATGAAACTCGGGTTAAGCAATGGAGTAACTCACGGAAGTTAATGTTGTGTTTACGCGTGTTAATTCATACTTTATTGTTACCACATAAAATCACAGAGTGAATAAAAATAGAGAACACCGTGCCGTTACAGGTCGAGCACTGAGACCAGACGCCATTTTCCAAGCTAATGTCCTAATTCATTGCACTGGTGAGTTGAATCAGCTTCTAGCTTGTAATTAACTGGAGAACACATCTTTTAGCCCGGATGCTAATTTTCACTATGTTGACTTATGCTAAAAACGTTAGCGATAAAACTCTGCTAAGCTTAGACGCTAACGAGTGCTATGTAAAATCACATTTGACTATGCTAAACGCGTTAACGTTTTAAAACGTATAAAAATATTGCTGATAAACAGCTATCTTCTGGCACACTAGTGTGTTAAAAAGACTGTTCCTTATTGTGTTTTGATGCATTTTTTGTACTATTTGTGTGGGTTGCTGCAACTTAGCTGCTGGTTAAGGTGTGTGCTAGTGAATCCCCCTTTTAGCATTTCTTTGAGTGAACATAGATTTCAAAACATTATAAAGGTGCACCATTAACTAAAATTTTTAATGTTAATTGTGTTTTTGCACTTATCTTTTATTGTATAAGGATTTGAGAATATGTTAAAGGTGCATCAGTGACTAAAATTTATATTGTTTTTTCTATTTTCTATTATGCACCTTAACTGCAACTGAGCTTATACCAAGAATATTAGCTCTCTAAACAAATGATTTTGTTTGGTTATGACTGAAATTGTAATTTTGAAACTGAAGTGAATGGCTTATGTTGTATAACATAAGTTTGTAACTTAGAGCATTGAGATGATATTTAATTAGCTTTATCCTGTGATCGTAAATGCTCATAGAATTAGCATAAAGGTAATTTTATTTTGACCTTATTCTTAGATCAGGTTCTTTTTAGTTGGATTGATTCTCCTGAGCTGAGCCGAGACTTTGGAGAAGATCTCGGAACCATTGGAGGAGTTTTGAGAGACGATTCCAGAGAAAACCTTTTCCAGTATTGGATGGCTAGCCCCTCCCACATGACACCGAACCTGAGATACCGAGCCTGATGCCTGCAAGAAGGAGGCGAGAACACTCAAGTATTCCACGCCTACTTCAAGTGCGGTAGGATTGAACTGTACACACATATATAGCTCCGGGAATAGCTAACATACAACTTTACACTGGAGAGTGAACAAGAACTGTGACTCTTACAGACATTTCAAAAAGACCTGGGTCTAACTTTATTTTTTTGAATCTGCGCTAGGCCTGCATGGTATGATGAAAATTTGCGATGTGCGATGACACTGTTCAATATTGCTATGACGATGCATGCATGCATGCATACATGCGATAAATAAACAAATATCGAAGTGTGCATATACAGTTTTGCTGAGCGAAGCTGAATAAAGATTACAGACAAAGGTCACTATCAATCATCTCCTCTGTCCTCCTCTCTCTGCTGCAGGTAACGCTGCTGAGGGGGGTGGCTGCTGTCTCAGGCTGTAGTTATAAGTTTATAAAGGTGTTAAATGAATTGCAGTCTACACACAGAAAGTTTTCCTTTTATTTTGTTCATAACCGTTCACTATTAGCTTAACGTTAGCACGCTGTGCTTGTGTAAAACAAACCGCAGTGGACGGGACACGTTGAAAATGTGGTTTACTACATGATTAAATCTTGTTGAACAGGTGGTGTGATGAAGGATGCTAATTGCTTTTTTACTCGCAAAGGTTGTGATGACACTCAGAGCTACGACAGTAGTTGTGTTTCAGCTCCGTGCTGTCTGCTGAGTGTGTGTGAGAGGCTGCAGCCTGACACCAAAATGCAGTAGATTTTTTTTGAAACCCTGCGTACATGGCGTATTAAAATGAAATGATTTTTTCTAATGTATCGCATCTCAGTCAGTCTTTTGCAATGTCTTTATTGCACATGTTCATATCGCAATGACGAAGAAAATAAGATTAATTGGTCAGCACTAATATGCACACATTTTTTTTGTTTATTTTTTTTACATGGGGAATATGAACAAATATATATTGGAACTTAAATTAACCTGCTTACCGTTCAATATAAGAAGTCAAACTCTTCAACCGTGCCCTGTGTCTCCATTTCACTATTATCTCTATTATTTTGGCTCATGTCGTTCCTAAAGTCTTCTGAATCTGGTCCAATCTTCACAGTTACTGTTATTATTATTTTCTTATACTGTACTTTGTGCTAAGACATACTGGATACATGTGCCACCAAGTCACTCACCATTACCCTCTGTAAAAAAAAAAAAAAGGAACACTGTGCTTAGATGGGGACATCCAATGAATTTGTAAGCTAAAGGCAGGTTTTTTGTGTCCTCAGTGTGGTCAGGAGAGGATCTGTATTACTGACTGCAGCACTCAGCTTTTCACCACAGCAGATCCATAAATAAACCAACGCTGTTTTCAGTAAGCCTTCCTTACGTGGAGTAATCTGCTTATAAAACATAAGCTGAATGTGTATATAATTAATATTTTAGAACACAGAACTTCTTTCCCATGACCTTTTGGTCCCCCACCTGATGTGTGAAGCACTGATTGCTGAAGATTCTTTCAGCCACAGCCTGTTACACACACGATTACATCTGATTGTGGTTAATTTCATCATCATCATCATCATCATCTACAATCATGGAGCCTGCAGTGGAATAACAAAACAAGATGAGGTTGAAAGCTCCAGAGTTTCCTCTCAGTTGAGACTCTGACACGAAGATGAGGATATTTGCTGGGGTAATTTTGGTGCTTAGCTGCCACCTCATGCTAGAAGAACAAATTACAGCAGGTTGGCAGCTAAATACCACACCACTAAATGACCACAAAGTGAAGACAGCACTGTATTATGGATCTGTTCCAGTTTAATTGAATACAAGTGAAAATCCTGAAGCTACAAGTAAAGGGTCCAGGGTCATGCAATTTCTCCTAAACTGGAGATATGCAGAGAGATTGCATGATCTTCTACAAAAATTAACTCTTGTATAACTCTTAAGATCAATTTGAAAATGAGTTGTGTCACTGAGCAGTAACAGCAGCAAATTCCCATGAAAAGGTGACATTTTGGAGATACATTTTCACCATACATTTTCACCATATCATATAAATACTGTATAAGTATAATGTTTTAAAAACCAGCAGTAAAATCTTAAAATAAAATTCTGAAAGTGGCTACAGTGACTGGTGTAAAGTGTTCACTTCTTTTGGAATGTGTTATGCTAGAAACCTAAAGAAGTGCTCTGAAATAGCTGTAGTCAGTTGATATCAAAATAAGGTGTGTCACAATAATTAAGCCTGAAGATAAAAGCACCAAAGCCTTTCTCTTCGTCTGACAGTGAAAAGAAAATCTCAGTCATGTGCCTTAGTTGAACAGAACATGATTGCACCACTGAATCAAAAATGATAGCACTTTGGTCGACATATAGGTCACTAAGACTTCGCATAAGATTCAGTGTTCACCACCCTGGACTTGAATTTTTTTTTTTTTTACAACACTAAAATTACAGTGGAAGTAGTTTTGATTTTTATACCTTGTCAAAGTGAAAACAAATCTCAAAAAAAGTGTTATAACTTAAGTAGTGACATAAAAAAGAACAAACAATTGATTGCAAAGGCACCAACTCATGAAAGTCAATATTTAGGAGGCCACTATAGCAATGTCAACCTGGAGCTTTGCAATTACCCATCCCCACCCACACATTCCTTTGGACCTTGGTCCTTTTTATTAGTTAAATACTAAATCTATTGTTGGATTACAAACCGATGTTTTGACTTTTGGATTTCTACAAACTTTCTCTTTTAGTCATATTAATTATTTTGTTTTATGGTAATTTTTAGAGAGATATGTTTTCACGATGACATTGAAGTGCAAAAAATCCTAATTAAATGAGTATTAAACACGAGAACGTTAAATGGTGGTGAATGAGCTTTATAGCCTCTGTAAATAAAAATGTTAGTGTTGGACAGAGAACAATAAGGGTCCCAGGATAGACACTTGAAGGATGCCGCAATGGAGTGGGGCACAAGAGTATGAGGCTCTTCCAACCACAACAGTGAAGAAGTATTTGTCACTTCCCACTTCTGATAACTGAACCTTTTGTCTTTTTCTGTGAGGCCTAACGCATGTAAAAGACACAGACAAGCATTGTTTCCATAAATCCTTGGAGCAAAATTCTAGCTCCCAAACAAAAATGTATATCCTTTCTGAATAGGCAATATGAGCACATGAAAAACACGGCAATTGAAAATAGAAAACAAAAAAATACTTGCCCAGACGAGTCAATAAAAGGCAGATTTTATTACAACAGCTCATCACATGGACCAATCTTCTCATCTTTATATTTGGATGTTGTCATTCAAGTTGAAACTATTTGCAGAGACTGTAATTGCTGAAAATAGTCATTCAAGTTAATTTTTGCTGCTAAAGTGCATGTACTGTACAAACATTTACATCTGTATTATACATAATTTACAGGAGTTCAGTTACTGCTACAGAACAGTGTTCAAAAGGAGAAGAACAGAATATTCAAAATGTCTTCCTGTAAACATGGGATGATGTTCACAATGATCACATGCTTCTGTTCCTCATTATCCATTTCCACCTTCTCGTTATGAGGATACAGTTTCATACAAGCCATTGTAAAAATGTTTACATCCACAGACTCAAAGAACAACAACATTTAAATATCCAGAATAATATTAGAATATTAATTTACAGGTTTGCATATTAATGTTTGCAGGTTACACTCTCATATCTTTTCAGATAGTCAAAAAGTGCATTACCTGCAGCACTTCAACCCTGTTAATGTTGTACAGCCTACATGCTGATTACATGACGATATATTGCTTCAGCTCTAGAATAAAGGAATAAATAACAAAAAAATAAACTATCCACTAATTTTAGTCTATTTAAAATATTGCCGCTTCAAACCTGACTTTAATCCATGTGAGACACTGTATTTTAAACAGTCTTAGTTAATACTTTTTTAAAAGATAAACAGATTTCAATAAACAGACTCAGAACTATATATATTCTTTCCTGCTCTCAAATGTAGTGGAGTAAGACTGTCTCTGCTACAGTACAGTTGGTCATTCTTCATTATTGCTTCCTGACATTTCGAGAGCGATGCATTACTGCTACCTCTGTGCTATAATAGAGCAAGAAGCAGCCACTGAAAGTTATCAAAATCCTTTCAGAACATACCAAAGTCAAAGATAATAAATATTTTGTTTCAGCTCAACTAGCACACTAAAACTTAGCTGCCTTCAACGCAACATGTAACATCACTTTGGGTCAACAGATTTGAGAAGAGATGTAACTGTCAGAGCTAAAATTAAATAGCCAATTCCATCAAGACACTGAAAGTGAGCAGCACATTCATCACAACACAGTCATCAGTGAGCTGTTCAGTTTGACTCAGTTTACTTCATCATCTTTGCTTTTATCTGTGGGATGTGCTGTCTTTTCAGCTTTTTTGGGGTTCTAAAGGGGATTTAATGTTATTTTGGCTCTGTACTCAGCCTGGAGGAAATGTTTTGTTGAAGTTCAATCTCTCTCCCTGCTAATCCCAAAGTCATTAGCATACATCTTTGGCTATATATTTTGAAGGCGGTGGCTGCATACCATGACATTAAATGAACGAAACTTAATCTTCTGTATGTAGTTATTTGTCTAATTAATTGTTTTAAAATTTAAATCCAACCATCTCATTGTGATGTCACACAAGCAATAAACCAGTCACCACAATTACCATAAGTTCTTATGTCTTTATCACTCACTTCCTAACAAATTGCAACTCAAGCAGTTAGTCTATTAAATAATAATAATGCAACAGTGATGTCTACATATCTACTTTCTTGCACAATGTGTGGCTGCACATGTATTGTAATCAGGTATGATGTAATCTAATTAGCATGCCACGCAGTTGGACAACTCAGTTAACCTTCACATTTATATTTATTCATACACAACATGAACCACTTTTAAAACTTTGCATAGAAACCTTTAAACCCCAAATAAATGCTTTAAGAATTAAAAAGAATATGCTCTTAATAGTAGGATTTGAAATTTGGACTGATTGACACTTAGCAAAGAAACAAATTTAGTGTCATGTTTCATGAAAATGTGTCAAGGAAATCCCTTCTGGTTAAGCTTCAGTCCTGCATGTCAGTCAATGTACTGTGATAACCATCTGAAACCTTCACCATAGCCTTGTTTTTTCAACACACTGCACATAAAAATCTCCAGCGGTCGAATGTTCAGCTCCTTCAAAGAGACATTTCCCTGTTGATCACAATAAGGATAAATGAAGATGATGGTCAACAGGCACCAGTACATGTGGCCACACACAGAGAGATCATATTATCTCTTAGAATTCAAAGATAAGGCCTACCTTTCCAGTAACTTGACCATCAAGAGCAAAAGCTCCTCTCAGTCCTCCTTCACTGATGGCCTCAGGACGGTCGATTTTATTACCCAACACCAACACTGGTACATTCACTATGGTTTCATCTGCTAGGAGAGCCTGGAAATACACAAGCAGCACAATCATCATGCATTCACTGTTAACAGTCAGTATTGCACAGTGGAAACGGCTTGCAACAGTGTTGGTTAATCTTACATCGAGTTCAGTCTTGGATTCTGTGAGTCTGTCATGATCTGCACAGTCTACAAGAAAGACGACTCCATTCACAGCCGGCAGGTAATTCTTCCAAACTCTTCGAGCTATAAACAAAGGAAAAACAGTTAATGAATCGGCTGTACTTGCAGCAGTTCAAGGTGATAGTGAAGGCCACATTTAGCTTGTAATGCAACAGTTTTAAACAAACTGGTGAGCATTAATTTTCTATTCATTATTGTGTCTGTGAAAATAGTGATATAATTAACTAATAACTAACTAACTAAATACTCACCCACACAAGTATTTGCAATAACTAATAGCTAATTGAGCCTCAAATCTTGTTCCTACAATTTTGCACTGTATGCCAAAATAAATAAGAGAATATGAACACAAATATTTATCCTGATAATGTATTATACGTCCATTTAGTGTTGAGGTGCCACTATGGAAATCTGCAGTTTAATCCTGCGCTAATCCTGTGCAGTTTTACTATAGTGTATCATTATTGGCAAAAATGAAGCTCTCACCTTGTACATGTCCTCCCAGATCAAATGTAGTAAATGTCATGCCACCTATTGTCAGCTCCTCAGAAGCTTTGATGAGAAGGAGAGAGGACACAATACTGTCATTATATTTTGCCAGCAATAAGGACTGTTTCACCACATAGGTGATTCCACAAGACAATTTATAAGAGAGTCTCACCTATGATACATGATATCACTGTAACTGAGGTAGAAAATATACCTTTACATGAACAAAATGTTTTTAATTCTTAAAAAAGCAGTCATCGATTATATATTAATTAAACAGTTTTTACTCTCACTCATTTTTTATAAGCAGCTTACATAAACACATTTGCAATCATCTAAGTGTCAAAAGAGCCAAAAACTAGCAAAAGGCTGAACTGCCAGAAAGTAAAACTGCTCAAAAATCTTAAGGTCTCGAGTCCCAAGAAGGAAAACACCTGCTCCTTAGGATTTTAGCTGACCCTGTTATGGTACTGGTGCCAATACAACAAAAAAAGGGTCATATTATATGTACTATATTTTCAGAGGAGAGTAAAATGATATAACCTGTACTATAATACGCTGTGGTATAACATAAGCTAGAATACTAACTAATGCAGGTAAATACACCACTCTAGTATGGCACACAACTGTCTACTGTATGTCTGTCCTTACTTGGATGCAGTGTGGGCACATGTTGGCCAAGTCGGTCATCTTTCAACATGTGCAGCAGTGTTGTTTTACCAGCATTGTCCAAGCCCAGGAAAACCAGCTTCCCATTCTTTTTGTACAGACCTGGAAGAAATCCCAAATGGAAGAACTCATGTAAATGGTATCCCACTACTTCATATTATAGATTACTTTGAGGTCTAACTATACAGTAGTTTATGACGTTGACCTAGCATCACCTGGACCACATACAACATTTCAATACTGCTTACATGTCAATAACACTGCAAAGTGGTATTGTTGCTGCTTTTCATAAGTTTGGGATTTTAGTGCTTTTCACATCTTTTAAGTCATTTAAGAACTGTAGACAGGACTTACCTAAGAATTGTAAAACACTACTAAACCCTCTGTAGATCCAGTCAAATAAAAATGACATCTCGTTGGTCTTTGCCTGAAACAGGAAAAAATGTCAGATCACTACCACAAATTAATGCCCTAAGAAAAAAAGAAATGTCTTTAACAATATGTTGACAGAAAATTAATCAGCAACTATTTAGATAGATAGATAGATAGATAGATACTTTATTTATCCCCTAGGGGAAATTAATGTGTCCATTAGCTCATTGTTGATAATAATAATAACCAAATTGTTGTTTTAGTATCTTTTTGAACCAAAAACGTCAAATATTTGCCATTCCCATCTTCTCAAATATGAGGATTGCTTGTTGATTTTCTTTGCTGCACATGATAGTGAACTAAATATCTTTTGGATTTTGAAGTGTTGGTCACACAAAATAAGTCTAGGCTGTTAGAAATTATAACAGGCATTTAAAAAAACTTCTGGCATTTTAATCGTCAGATTAATCAATGATGAAAATAACATTAGCTGCAGCCCTAGTATGCAACAATTACCATCTTTGTGAAACGTATTATAATAATTAGTTATCCACGTTGTGCCAGTGAGGTGTTGAATCATTTCTTGAGGGCATAGCTTGTGGTAAGATGTTGCACTTGCTCTTCCATGCAAATTACGCAGACAACATCCAGTAGTATGTCGGAAGCTTGTACAAAACGGAACATTTTTAAAATAGGTAGTATTTATTTACAGAGTAGAGGTTGCATTACATTACATCATACAGGGGTTTAAATCTCTTGGTGTTATCATCTGACATAACACTGTAACTCCTCCCATACGTGTAACAGGTGGCTAACGTTACCTTTTAATAAAAAGATAATTTAGATAAAGCTTAGTGCCCCCAAACACCTGTACTCATCATCACCTCTCTGTGACACTGAATGTAGCTGAAAATATATACATTAGCTTGATCAGTGGCAACCTCTATATACAGTCTATGATAGTAACCTTAGGTAATAGCGCTCTTTTCTGCTATTTGTCACTCGCTGTTTCCTGCATCGTAAAAAGACAATTACAACCTTCAGCAGTGTGATGTTCCAACTATCAAAAACACTGCTGTGTTTGTAGCCATGCTGTCGTTGCCTTTACGCTTGTTACGCCGTGGTTCGTGTGTTATTTAATTAACGTAAATCAGATAACGCTAGCTGGCTAGTTAGCAGTAGCATGTTAGCTGACGTCAAACCTTTGGTGCTTTCTATAGTGTGACCTCATGTGGGTCAAGACGACGTTTAACAATGAGCAAATTCGTTAATAAGAGACGTCGACAACACAGTATGCTGTCATATGGTATTACACCAAACTTACTGTCAAGCTTTAGCTAACTCACCTCTCGGCACCGACCAGCGCTCAGTAGTATCAGTGGTCTCCTTGGAAACAATCAATGAAGGTCTTCTTCTTCGTGGTTTAGAATTGGCGTCCAGTTTGTTTTATTAGCGCCCCCTGTTGATGTTTGTCGGTAAATGAGAGGGGATCCCTCTTGTAAAGTGCACTACAAATGTGAGCTGCACTTTCAGGATAGAAGTGCATAAATTATGCTCTTATTTACTTTATAAGAGGACTGTAACAGAATCATTTAACAGGAAGCAATAAAGTATATTTATCAATAACGTAAACTTTCAATATTAAGCACGTGTTCTCCCATTATATAATCTCAAAAATACTGTCTTAATGTTAGAAATGCATGTAATTTTTGAAATGTAGAAACAATGGAATACTTTATCATAATTTGTCAATTCTAGAGAGAGTCAATGTATATACACAGAGCATGTCAACATATTCTACTACTTCACGCTTCAGATAATTGTGATTCATGGCAAATTCTCCATTAATAAGATGAAAGGCCCCAACAAAAAGCCAATCCTGTCATGAATTACTCTGTTAAGTGGAAAATATTGACTTGATGAGTACTTGATAGAATGAGCAACATTAAGCGCATCTGTAGCAAGAATAAAGGTGATATCCAGGCAGCAAATTAATTTGAATGTCAAATGAAATAAAACAGGTTTGATGTCATCAGGAATCAACTGTTTTTATCCCATGAGCTGCATAAGAATACACCATAGTTTCTAACCACATGGTAAAGGAATATAGAGGTTTATTGAAGCTTATTCTTTAATTGTCACCTACTGATGCATCCCATGGCTTTTACAGCCAATGGTTTTAATAACCACCATGTCATTTATACTTTTAAGTAGCTATTACATTTCAGGAACACCAAATACATCATTTACTGGAATTGCATATGGGCAATGTGTCATTTATTGTATGTCTACAAGAATTATTAGGCTATGGAGTATTGTATAGAAATGAGTAACAAGAGAAACGAGGCCGAACATAATTTCTCTCTGTCTTTTCCCATCAGGGCACCATTATCCACTTTCGATCAATATTCTGAAGGTCAGCTCAGGTCTAAATGATTACAATAATAATAATAATAATATGAAATAGTGGCAATAAAATCAATACAGAATACACCATAGCCTGGGATTTAGTGTGGTTTATTATAGTGTCCTATCAAGCCTGAAATTATGGGCTACAATGTAAATGATGAAAAAGTGCCTTCACATGGTCTGAATTTTACATAGTGCCAATAATCCCACAACAAGCAGTTTTGACAACAGTAGAATCAGATAACAACAACAACAACAACAACAACAACAACAAAAACAGGTAAAATGTGAAATACAATATACATTCAATCTGTCCAGTTCATGTGCCACTGTAAGCAGATAGAAGGAGTGCAGGTGTGAAGTGACATCTTCATGTTTCTGCCCAGGCTTTTCCTTCCTACTTCTCATAGTAGAACCATTTGTCGACTGAAAAATAACCAAGCATAAGTGATTTTCAGAGAGTAACAACATAGCCTTGCTGCAATAAAACAAATAAATGTACAAAACACACCTGAACTTGGAATAGGTTCTTCAGCTCCAAAATCACATGCCTGTAAGAGTTCGTGAAATCATTAAAAGGTGTTATAATAGTGTTGTGAAATAGTGTTGTGCATATCTTGGGAGGCAGTTTTCTATTGTGTGAAAGCCATGACATTCTTGCTCAGTTTGAACCAAAAACCAAAAGTCATATGTGGACCAATTGGATTAAACTGAAAGAAACTGCCTTCAGATTTTCTCTGTCTTCACTAATGATCCTCTGCTTTTGTCTGAAGTCTTGGTAGTTACCAGGTTATCATCCCTATTCTCATTTAGGAAGGGATGGTTGTGGGAATTTTAGGTCTCTAACGTGAACATGAAAAAAGCATAGACTTACAGACTTAACCGCAGCCTCTGCATCTCCAGCAGAGCAGCAGAACGGACTGTCTGAGACACTGGTGTTCATGCTGACACAAGAAAGAGAGAAAACAAAGGAAACAATTTCATCTTCAAAACTGAAACGGACCTAAAAGGCATATATTCACAGATAGAAAATTATCTAACGGGTGTTATGGCAGGAAATATCACTGATAACATTTGTCACACATACTGTCATAGAGCCTACTGTTTGAATAATGGAGTTTATTCGGATTATGAACCACCCACCAATTTAACTCGCCAGCATCGGTCTTCTTAGAGATCAGTGCCTTCCAAAACTCATGGGTGCTCTTCACTGTTGCAATGGCAAAGTCCTGGAGAAAAACACAAAAGATTTCCCCTATTTGCATCCTCCATGAAAGCATAAATTTACCAGGAAAAAAGAAAGCAGATAAGCTTAGGTAAAACAGAAAAGATTAAGGAGTGTAATAGCACTTTCCCTTCTAAAAATGTTTTATTATGTAATATAAATTCAAGTTTTCTTTTTTCTCCAGGAAGTCTAACATTTTCGAAATACAATCCCATGAATAAAATTTTAAAAGTGTTACCCTGTCTTTGAATTCTCCATTGAAAGCAAACTGGTTTTCAGGTTTCCCATCTGGGACCTTATATCTCTTGAACCAATCAAAAGTCGCCTCTAGATATCCAGGCTTAAGTCGTCTCACATCATCAATATCTGCAACCAATCAACAACAAAGGACAAGTCTAAATACAGAATTCATTTAAATATAACTGATGGTATAATATTTGGCAGTGTTGCAGGTAATTCCTACCGTTAAAGTCGCCGGCTTCGGGATCCTCCGTATTGATCACAATGACCTTCCAGTCTGTTTCACCCTCATCGATCAAAGCCAGAGTTCCCAAAACTTTCACTTTAATTATCTCTCCTCGTGTGCACACCTTGGAGTCAAAGACACGTTTGAAAAACCAGCAAACAGATGAAATTATTTCTGTGTCCTCAATATCCAAAAATGGAATTGTTTCACTACCTTATTTCCTATGTCACATATATCAATAGGATCATTGTCTCCACAGCATCCTGTGTCGCTGTCCTTGTGGTTAGGATCTTCCCATGTCTGTTGAAAGGGAAAGCAAAGAAAGATGTTTGACGGAGCAGAGACATGGTTTGGTTTCCTGGTATTTAACTATAGCCTGAGCAGTACTTGCCTGCGGGATAGCTCCATAATTCCAGATGTAACCTTTGTGAGGAAACACATTAGCTACATAACGAAGATTTCCCTTCTTCAAATCTTGTTTCAGTGGATTGAGAGGATCTTTGGTGGCAATCTGAGAAACATGGACACAAAGCAAATTAAATGAACTGGTCCATGTAAATGAAAAAGGGGGAAAATACATAATTGCCATAATTAGGTATCCATAATCAATCATATCATCATTTGTTAGTGTAATGATAACAAAGTCATCATTGTGTATCACATCTTGAGAAATCCCCATAACAAGTACAGGACAATGAATATGGTTCTTTGTCTTAAGATTTAAACACTATTATGCCTTATCTTTATAAGATTACCATATTTATGAATAAAATATGTAAATATATACCTCCATCTTTGCATTTGTCCATCTTGGAACCTCCACAACAGCATGAAAAATATTCTGCAGGATGATCAGAAATAGCATTTTGTTATGCTAAGGATGAATTCTCTCATTTTAAATAAATTTCTACACAACATGAAGATTGCAGAAAGGAACAGATGATGTTTACAGTATACTGTCTGAAAAACAAAACATCCATTTATTACCAGGGAGATGGTAAAACTAGAAAAGCGAGTGTGCTATAGAGATAAATGACTTATAGCCAACATAACACTCACAAAAAGGAGAAACAGGGGCAGTACATTTTTGTACAAAACTATTTTTCACACAGGACCCATAACAGGCATATAATGTGGTTTCTTGAACCTGTGATGTGAACCTTTACATTTATAGGTGCATTTACTAAAGTCAGTTGAGAGCCCCACAGACTGAGGCTCCTAGTTGGTGCTGGGGAAAAAGCATCCATCCATCATCACAGAGAAATATAACTGACAGTAGAGTTTGGTACTGCGTCTGCCTACACTGTCCTAAAGCCCAAAAAAGGATGAAGGGCTGCAAAAAAAAGAAAAAAGACACAAAAATGTGCCATAATGTACTTGTACAGGTTCCACCATCAGCAACACAACTTTGGCTCTATTTTTTCCAAGAGTCTAACAGAAGTCATACAGAATTGATAGATACATGATGCTCACCTCTGCTTCATTTGCGTAGATGGGTATGTCATGGAACGGAGAGATGTATTTACCCTCAGAGTTTTCTGTGTTAAGGGAATGTGCATTGTAGCTCTTATTTATTAGCACAAATGAAAAGTCGATACTATAAGCGACTAAAAAGTTCATAAAGCTCTACGATTACTTGTCAATGCAGCTATTGCAGCAGCTAGTTTTTAAGCAACTATTACATTATTAAACCATCAATGAAGGGATTATTTCACTCCAAGACATAAACTAGTTCATTGCTTACGGAAAAACACCCTGTAGTCCTGGGTGTTGGGCCTGCCCCTCTCGTCGATGGTAAAGCTCATTTCTGATGTTGGTTTCAAACTCTCCCTCTGAAGTCTGAGCACTAACTCAGGAGGACTAAGCAGCTCCTGACTGACAGGCAGTCACTGAGGCAGAGGAGCAGACATGCGCACTGCTTAAGCCAAGGTTAGAGACCTGACAACTGCTTGCATGTGACAACAGAGCTGCTGTATGAAGAGTGCAAAGGCCAGATGACAGAGCTGTGCTGGCTTCTGTCGGTCTCTTTATACTGTCTGAATGCGAATCACATCCAATACTTGCATCTGTAGCCAACACAAGTAAACAAACCTCTGGGAGAAGCAGAATTTCTCCGAATGGTGATCAACAGCTAATCCCTCGTCACTGCCACTTCTCCATGCTGCAGCATGAATGTGAAGTTTCTACCTTCTTTCTTTGCGTGTGAAGTGATTTGTTTTTCATTTCCCCGTTGTAAGCTGCGGCCCTTGAGAGCTCTTTTCAGACAAAAACAGATGGAGCTGACTGGTGTTAGCTGTAAACCAATTAAGAAAGCAGGATTAGGTGGCGTGCCCCTTCTGGCCTCCGGAGTTTCTCTGTAACTATTTGATAACATACTTATGGGCTTGTTTTTAGGAACATAATATACATATAAAATATTTAAATTATCTCTTAGTTTCTCTAAAATCCATCACTTTTACAGGTAGCAGGTGATTTTGATGGCATTTTATGGTACTTGCTGAATAATACAGAAACCAAGTAAATCTATGTTTGTTACCTTTCATTCGGAGCTATTGCACCAATGTTTTTTGCATTTGCCTTTTTTATGTCAAATTATACATTTGACTCCGCCAATTGAAATACATTTAATTCATAATGTTGTATAGCTAATGGAGAAGCTAATTTACTCGACTTTTTGCATCATTACAGATCTAGTCTACAAGTAAAAGCAACCAAAGGGAAAAACGAGAACACTAAATATCATTATTATATTAAAATACTTATTATTATCATTATTATAAGGTCAGTAAATGTAGCATTTATTACATAATGAATAAATTATTATTAATCAATGTCATTATTTGGAGAAATTGTTCTGTATTTAGTTTAACTAGAACACATGCAATCTAGTTTACAGAATAACACCTCCAGCTGTAAACATAATCAAAAGCATGTCGCCTTAGAGAGCCAAATATCTATAACTGTACACTAACGCTGAAAAAATGAAAAATTACTGTAGTTTTCCTCTGGTGTGGAAAATTAAAGTCATTCAGATTGCAGAATGATGCACAATGCAAGGTCACAGGCAGAAGTCACGTGACGTTGTAAGCCTGCAGCCCTGTTGGCCAGGAGACATCCTCCTTTGGCTGACTTGTGAATGTAAGAGCTTGGAATGCTCTCTTTGCATATTTAAAGTCTTGTTCACAGAAAAAAGGATACACAATAATCTGGTCATTAGTGAACTTCTTATATATCATAATGCCAACACCCTCTTGTGTTTGTATGACAGAGAGGCTCCCGTCAGGCCAAACATCAGCTTAAGTGATCCAGACTCAGCAGTGCTGCTATTTAAAGAATGCCTGGAAAGTCTGAGCAAAATACTTTTAATCACTCCACTATGGGCTAGTCTCTGTTATCTGCAGCCTTCATTACAGATGGAAGATTTAAGAGCTTGATCAACACTTACATTACCATCTGTACTTTCTCTATCGCCTACTAAATCAAGCCACTGTGGTGACCAGGTAGCTTCAGAAGTTAGCTTTTTGCTGGTCTCTTGAATAGATTTTTTGTAGACAGTACAATAATTAGAAATTAATTGTAACATTATTGAAACTGAAATAATTGCTATGTGCCCTAAATAAACTATACAGTAACTGAACCTGAATTCAGCTCAAGCTATGTGTCTTCAGTTTAGTATAATAAATCAAAAATTCATTTAACATAGTCTCAACAATGAATAAGTCACCCAGTGAAAAATAATGAAACAATAATGCATAGTTCCCTTTGTATAAGCTTTAATTGAAAAAAACTTTTTTATACTATCAAAAGTAATAAATAAGTAATTGCAAGTATCTCAGCTGAGACAAAAAAAGTCAAATGGTGCATGAAGATGGACTGATTTCATCTCCAATTATCAACTTCATCAGTCCTTCACAGTTCATACAAAGGACAAAGTAGAGGCCAAAGGGTGTGGTCACCAGCAGGGCGTAAAAACAATGGTCTTTACACACCTCTGTGCTCTTGTTTCTTGTACAGCATTGTGATATCTTCAAGTATTATGTTTTCTCATTTCTCAGGCACACGAAAGCATCCAACTTAAGTAGTTAAAGGCACACAGCATGCAGTCTATATGTGGTGAAATATCATTTATGACACCATCTAGGACTGTGTTGTGGACAAAATATCAAATTTGAGGGGAGACTGCAGAGCAGACTGAGTGTTTGAGTCCAAGGGGTTTGACTTCACGTTTAGCCACTTAAGCGCCGGCATGGCAGACAGCTTCTCTGCGGGAATTTCTGTAAGAAAAAAAAACATAAAACACAGAATGAACTAAAGCTTAAAATATACAACTCTTTCTCTGACACATACAACATGTATTAATATGTTATTATTACCAGTGAGGCTATTTCCCTCGAGGTTAATCCTCTCCAGTGTGGCTATCTCAGTAAGCTTGTCTGGGAAGGTGGAGAAGCTGTTATTAGCCAGATTGATGCTGGTCAAATGCACCATTTCTCCCACGGCGTCAGGCAGTTTGGTGAGAACATTTCCTTGCAGGTCCAGTTCTGCAAGGTATTTCAAGACACAAGTAAATCAATGGGTCACACAGCATAAATCCATTCTGTCAACATTTGTGAGGTGAACAGCGTACAACTTCACAATCTTTTTTTTCTCCATGCATCAAATAGCTGTGGTGTATTTATTATCCATTACCTCTCAGCTGTGTGAAGGTTGAGAAGAACTTGCTGGAAAGTGCCTTCATCTCATTGTCAGCCAATGTGATAACACGGATGTTTTCTGAAACACTCCTCAGGACCTTGAACACACCGTCTGGGAAAGAAATCAGCTTGCAGTTTGACAGATCTGCAGAGAAAAAATATATAATTATGAGATTATCAAGCATTAACACAGCAGGGTGATATTGAATATCTATAATTAACAAACACTTTGGGATTTAAATACATTGTTACTTGAACTAGCAAATTTAAGTTTCTGTCACCATCTGCTGGTGAAATTTGAAATAGCATCAACTACAATACAATACAGTTGTTAGGAAACTGCAGAAGTAAGGAGTAAGAGACAAAAGAGTCTTACCCAAACAATCTTTCCCCTCCTCTACAGTTGCATTAATCCTCCGGGCCACATTTGCAACTGCCTCAGCCATTTCTCTGCAGTAAGTGTTCCTAAGGGAAGTCATACAACTTTACACTTACACATACTTTTTGTAAGTGAGATGTATGACAGCCAAATAATATAGTAAGAAATAATGACAATGGCTTCATGCGGTTACCACACTGCTACACTGACTCAATAATAAGTAGGTGATGTATCTCTTCTTAGGTTTTGGTTGTATTATCCACATCATAGGTGACAGAATGAAACATTTACTGGCAACTGACATAAAGGGAGGACATAATATAAATCAAATCCCCTGACTCTAACACTGAGTTAACATTTTCTGTAAATTTACATTCCTTGTGGAAGAAATACTCAAATCATTCAGTAGATAGCAATTCAACAATGAAAATACATACTCATTTTGAAGAAAGGTAACTTTCAGAAAGTTTTGTAAAGATTTCTGACCTACAAAATGATGAAATGATAAAAATGCCACAAATTTGGAATAATTATTGAATTTTATGATAACTGGTACTTAATGAAATAATCTGTAGTAAGGCAAAGGTAATGACAATCTACAATATGTTGGGGATTTTTCTGCTATCATTGGACTTTTTATACTAGGGCTGCATAGAAATCTCACAAATTATAAGATGGAACTGGAGAATGTTTGTGTTTTTGCCTGACAAATGACTTAGACAACTAATAATTTATCAGAACATAATCACATATTTTTCTGTCGATCAAGTAATTGACTAATCTACTTTCGGGTCACTAGTTGGTGGATCATGCAGTTAGTGCTCTAAAATCAGTTGAGTCCCTGAAACCTTAACCCTAACCCTTGACTCTGACTAGTCACTACAGTCGTTATTAAAACGTAATAAGACCTCAAAATGGAAATAGCAACATTAGAGTAAGAGAGTGAGCGACCTCGATATTTTATTTAACGTTTCTTTCTACTGCTGGATAACCCTAAAGTTGAAACCACTGCACTACTGAACTGGACCTGGTTGCTACTGAAGATCACATTTCCGTCCTACTACACACATAATTTAATGTAAACTAAGATTTTGGCCAACTGTTCCATGGCCTTACACTGTCAGACATATACAAATGCTGCCTATTGAGCTACAGACAACCAATTAACCATTATTTCATTAGTGTTTTATTAAAACAACGCCAGGGAGTCACTTACCCAGACTAGAAGCTCCTGTTACAGAGCCTGACAGCTGCTAGCATTAGCTAACGTTAGCTGCACCGCTCAACCAACCAAGTCTAATTTGGTGAGTGTGTATTTTTAGCCCCGGGAGAGGGCAATTCACCTAAAATATTTCGATATGTATTAGGAAGGTAATACCCACTGTCAACACCTTACATAGTAAACAAACGTTGGATAACTTGTTGCTACTTTGTGACATGAATTAGCATGAATTAGCTTCAGGCTGCTAGCAAACAGCCGACTAGGAAACATGTTGAGTGTCAGCCCTGCGCTTTCAGATTGCAGACAACGCAGCTCAACCACAGAGCTCAACTGAAATAACAAAGTAAGCAAGATAAGCATTAATGCCTCCGCTGGTGAAGTTTCAGTTTACATCCATGTCTGTCCAGACCGGTCCAGACTCATATAATATATGTAGTGAAGACTTTGAAGGAATTTAAGATATTAAATGCATAAAATTTTTTACATTAATTTACATGGATTACATCAAATACATAAATTAAATTTAGTTCAAACAATAAATTCATTTTAATTGATAAAATGTTATTAAATTAAAATGAATAAAATTGAGTTAAATTCATTACATGACATTAGTTTTAAATAAATTAATTAAATGCACAATACGTAATTTTCGGCTGCTTGTTCTTCAGTGTTATTCGTTCAGGAGGTTTTTATCAGGTGCTGAATTATCTGCAGAGGCATTATCTGCATCTCTGACACTATTTGATCCTTTAAAATAAAATTAACAGAATTTAACTGAGTAATTGAGTTTAATTGGTAAATCTAATTAAATTTAAATGAAATAATTATTAAGTTATTGTTATTATTATTAAAGTATTATTATTATTAAATTATTATTAGAATTTAATTAAAACATCAATTAGATAAAAATGTAATTATTAAAATAAAATAAAAGTACAATATTAATGAAATTAAGTTTAATGAAATTAATTTAATTAGATTAGATTAACTCAGTTCAATAAAACATTTCATTACATTAAAGTAAAATAATTAAATTAATGTCATTATTGTTAAATTATTATTATCAATTAGAATAAAATAAATTATAGATATCAATTAAATAATTTAATTGAACTGATTTCATTAATTGATTAACTCAAACAAATAAAAATGAATTCCATGAATTGAATTAAATTGAGTCAAATTAATTGCTCCATTAAATGAAATAAAATTTACTCAATTATATAGACTAGATTGACTGAAATTAATTCAATTACATTAAATTAAGCAAACAATAATTGAATTCATTGCTCACCAAAACATGTTTTGTGAGGCCACAGTGACCTTGATTTCTGACCTTTGGCCACCAAATTCTAATTAGTTCATCCTTGAGTTCAAGTGGTCCTTTGTGCCAAATTTGAAGGCTGGCAGTCCTGAGATGTCCTATTTGGAAGAATGGGACAGACGGATGGCTGGTTGGATGGACAGACAACCCAAAAAACACTATGCCTCTGCCCAACGCTATTGCCAGTTGTAAAAAACAATAACTTCACATATTACTTAAGAAATATGTTTCAGTTTGTCAATATTGGGTGTCGACATGGGAATATCTAAATAATAGGCAGAAAATATCTCTTTTGCGCTACATCTCAATATAGACTGCAACTAACAATTATTTTCATTATCAATTAGTCTGCAGGTTATTCTTTTGATTAATCAGTTAATCACTAGTCTTAGATATCAAAAATAGTGAAAACATGCCGATTAGAATTTCCCAGAGACCAAGGTGACTTTAGAGGTCTTGTTTTGTCCGGGCAACAGTCTGGATTCCATGGAAATTTAGTTTACAATCATAATATGACAAAAAGCAGAAAATGATCACAGAGGCTCAAACAAGAGAATGTTTGATATTTTTTCCATTATCTTTCCTTGAAAAATGACTCAAACAATGAATGAATTATCAATATAGTTACAGTCATTTTTAATCAATTGATTTACTTTCAACACTGTAATCACTTGATGTTTCAATTATTTTCTCGATCAATCATTTAATTTATAAAACATTTCACAGAAGACTGTGAAAAAGTCTTATCACAATTTTCCAAAGTTCAAAGTGGTGTTCTCAGATATCTTGTTTAATACAAGCAAAAGTCCAAAACCCAAAGATAATAAGGAATAGCGACAAATGATCACTCTTGAGAATCTGGAACCATGAAATGTTTGGCATTTTTTCTTGAAAATTTTTTTTCAAAATAATTGCTGATTTAATTTTCTGTTGATCCACTAATCATTGTAGCTCTAATTTATTTTGAATTATAAATATTTTTTTCATATTTGCCTGAGGCTGAGATTGTTGTCTTACCTCTGAGTCCTGATCCACTATTCCCAGTTTGACCAATGCTGTGGTCATGACTCTGGCAAATTCCTGGTCAGTCAGTGTATTTTCAAAGGATCTGAATACAATGAGCCCTCTGGCTTCAGAAGAATAGAACTTAGTTTTGCTTTGTTACAACTAGCAGCCACTTCACAGTATTTGCTAGATATTACTCTGCTATACAGAGCTTTATTTTGAATTAGTGAACATCAGTGGACTTTGGCAATGACTCACTGTGAATGACTGAAACAGTGTGGAACTAGAAAAGTCTGCCTCCTTTGATGTGCCTGTTCTTTGTATCACACAAAGTAGTTCCAGATAAATATGCCAGTGATCCAAGCAGGGACATACTGCTGCGTGTTGTGGATATGTTTGCAGGTATGTTGTGTTTATATTGTGTCATGACAGCATAAACCAAACCAGACAGTTCAGAGAAAACTATGCTATTAGACCAGGTATCATATATCCAAACAACCCTTCTTCTATATGTTACTTTAAAATGTAAAATGTTGTCAAAATGCAAGTCATCAAGAACTAAATGATTTCAATACGAAAATATCTGATCAAAGAATGACTGAGCAAGATTAGAAATCTGATCAGACAATCAATGGCATCTTTTCATACAAGACCCCTGTCTATCTATCTATCTATCTATCTATCTATCTATCTATCTATCTATCTATCTATCTATCTATCTGATATATCTAATGGTTGGACAGTATTCTTGCATTTAAACTGGCTAAGTTGTAATAAAATATAGGCTTAATAACTTTCCTATGCTCACATGCCCAGAAAGTTCAGTATAACTTATAAAACATAACAAAATACATACTCCATTTGCAAAATGTACATAAATACAATTTTCTTTAATATTTACAATAAATATACATTAGTTTAGAGTTACACAAATGGTAGTGTACAATAAAACAGTGCTGGAATATTCAATAACATTGCCATTTTGTGTTTACATTGAGGAAATTGATAAGTTAAGGAGAATAAACTTTTATATTACATTGTGACAACTGCACACACCTGGAGGGCAAGATGCTGCGGTATTGTTCAGTTTGTGTTTTAGCACATCTTAACATGACAATCTTCTCTGGAACCAGAGCTCATCACAAATTAAAGTTGTGTCTCATAGATCAGCTACAATCTCACAGTGTACAGTGACAAATATCAAAGAGCTTTCTTTCCTTCTGACTAAGTGTTTTCTTTTGTTTTTCAGAAATTGGTTGCTTCCTCACAGCATTTTTGGGCCGTTATGCTGCTCAGCAACACAGGCCATGCTTAGATGGCGTTTCAGCTGTCACTGGCAGCCACACTCATCCACAATCATGTCTTCATGGTGTCGAAGGAGCATTTCTCCGTTTTCGTAGTACAGCATGCTTAATGGGCTCATTTTGGTTGGCGCACAGCAGGGCGATGCCACTCTGTCAGGATGATAATGTTTCAGTAAACTCTGGGAAAGGAAGAGACAAAACAGAGAATTTTGTTATATAGAATTAAACCAATTCACCCTAGTCTATAACAAATATTCTCTATTACAAATAGATAGATAGATAGATGGAAAGATGGATAGATGGATAAATAGACTGTAATACCCACCTGCATGTAAGCATGATTTGTTGGATTTAGGTCTTCTCCCAAAGGACCAGGACAGGAACCTTCACAGCGGTAGGCATTATACCTTTTAGGAAAGATGATCCAGGACCCCCAGCCTATTTGATTAAAGTCTACATGCAGGTCAACTCTGCGACAGAGAGATTTTTCACTCCCTCTTTTGGACACCTGCAGGCTTCTCACTGTTTGTTCTCGCTGGCCCCGTTTGCTCCTGCGCCTCTTTGGCCAGCGGGCCTTTTTGATTTCAGCAGGGGACAAGAACTTGGATTGTTCAGCTGTATGAAGCAAGCTTGCTTTGGCCTTTGAGTTTTCATCCGAGCCAGTGTGTGAAAAGACGACCAGCAGGGCTCGGTCGCTAACATCCTGCTCGCTCCTCGGGCTCGCCACATAGACAGGCTGATCAGGAAGCGACAGGCCTCTCTTTGTCTTTACCATTTTCCTTCTTGATACTCTTTTGTGTTGAATTCTTTCTGTCGATTTTCGTCTAAGCCAGTCCAGGAGAGGACTTGTCATGTTGAATACTTTCCAGCTCTGTGATGAAGTGACCAGTGATGATTCAGTGAGCAGCCCCACCAGCTGCTGTTCTTGGCAGTGCTTGTGCGTATGGCATGCCTGGCCATGGTGATAGACCTCCACTGAGATGTTGTAAGCGCTCGGTGTCCGAGGGAGCCTGATTCTCAGCTCTGCTGCCTGGATCTGCTTGTCAGCCAGCAGGGTGTGGAGGTCAAAGGTCGCAACCCAGCGCCTGTGTCTGTACGTCAAACCTAATGAAGTGAAAAGAGAAAGATCAGCATCATTGGGGTTCACACTTTATCACAAATAGCTCATCATTATAGTGGACATTATGGTAAAATCAGGGTAAATATCAAAATCTATGTTATACTGATATGACCAGAAAGAAAAATTGCAACACATGCAACATGTTGAGGGCATTGTACTAAAATAAATGTTACCTGTTACCCCCTGAATTCTATATTAAAGTTGAGGTAACTTGTTCTCATCTGCTTCATTGATTTAAGATTTGCTTTTGGAAATACTGTTAAATCAATACAATTGCTATTTCTGTCTCTGCAACAAGCATTGAGTTAATCTAAACAGGTGAAAAGTGGGAGTAACACTGGGTGGTATGATGACATATAACCTGAGAAGATATCATGAGATCAAGGAGATCTGAACCATCTGAACTGAACCATGGGTATTTCAGTTAACTGACATCAGAAAAATGTCACTATTCTCCAGAAATAATATATGTTTTAATATCATATATAACCTTTAAAAGTCATTAGTCTTCATGGTGGCATCCTTTTAATAGTCTTATAATAACTGCAATTTTGTTATTTGTAGGTCCTTGTATACTTTATGTTTGCAAAGTGAGGTGCAGGGAAAATAATCAATGCAAAATATAATTGCTTCTGAACTTCTATTAGCTTCATGATTAATGCTTGTATTGATGGAGATTTCAGCAAATTAAGGTTGCATGTAAAAATAATCTAGTCATTGCCCCAGTGTAGGACAACATGTACTGCCCCCACATCTGTAATGGAAGAGGGGGTGGAGGTGGGGTCATTGTCATTCAATGAACAGGTGTGGTTCGAATTCATCTAAAGGATTAAAGCATTTTAAACATTTGACTTCTGCATTAATTGTCCAGTGCATTGACCCATTTAGCTGGACTGTTAATCAAAAGTGCAAACCGCCCTCTCTATGAATCCACTCAGAGCAAACACAGAGCCCCCGAAACCAATCATTTAGCACATCTCTGCCTGTCCTGGCTTCTGCATATCCTCAGTCAGACAAATAGGTAATAACTCTAACACCTAGCAGCGATGTGAAATTGGATTCAGCAGCGGGGAGGGCTGTCCTCTGATGGCTGCTTGTGCCACCATTAAATCCCGAGCTCTAATCTAATCAAGCCAAGTGTGAAGAAAGAACTGAGGGAAGTTGTTGATTTGACTTAACAAGAGATTTGTATAGGGGGATGTCTGGCGAGGTATCTAATCAACATCACCTATTTAAGAAAAAAGAGGTTTGCTTTGAGAATTAGACAGAAAAACCGGCCTTTTCACACGCTGATCCCTGCGTGGTTATTCACCCACTGAGTGGGATGTGGATTGAAACCCTCTGAGGTCGTCTGGCACGCAGCTTTGACAGGACAACACTTGAGCCGAAGGAAAAAAAAACTAACATTTAAGAGGTTGTTGAAAGGGTAGAGAAGAGATCTGAGTCTGAGCGGAGCTACTAAAGCTTAAGGAATAAATACAATACTCTACATTTGCCATCATCTTGTTTCCCTTCTCATTTGTGACCCATGAACTGTTTTTTTTTTTTTTTTTTTTTTTTTTGGAGAATAATCAACTAGATCTTACTTTTAGCCATCACACTCTTCACGGTGTCTGCTTGCTTTGCCGCATCTTGCTCCATAGTATCCATCGGCCTGGAAAAGTTTGACTTGAAATTCCTGTAGAGGTGCACCATGTAGGTTGGCAGGTGATACCCGGTTGATCGGTCCATCACGGAGAGACGATGCAGCGGCCTCATATAAACTCCATCTCTGGATTTATGAATCCCTTGAGCCAGCAGCACCAGCAGAGATGCGTGCAGCGCGACACCCAGAGCTCCCAATGAGCGCATGTTTTAGGCCAGTTAATGACAAATTCCTCTACTGGGAGATTAGGGGTGTCTTATATACCCTCACCCACCCCCTTTCATGTTTAACAAGTAGCTGAGAACATTAAAGGAAATTGACATGCGTCCTCAAGACTTGTTACCTGACAGCTCATCATCCATTCACTTGGTAATGAGGCGCCCGGGTGCGTGTTTACAAGGAGCGCTACTTTTTGTTTGCGCCATGATCTTTGGGCTTCTGCAGACTGATTCCCCATCCGTGGACTAATTGTTTCAGCTATTTGGCTTACACTAATTGTTAGCCTTTCCCATAGTGTAATGTAGTCTACTAAATGCCGTCTGAAATGGACTATAGGGAGAAGGATTGGGCTGTTGTGCTTATTAGGCACAGACTTAATGAAACAGTACAAACATTAACATAAAAAACATGTCAAAACATCATCCAGTAGTCAGTTTTATTCAGATTATAAATAACATTTATAGCATAGTATGGCCTAGCTTGGTGCAATTTCTACATAGGCATATTTGTAGTTGCATTTAGGGCTTCACAGAAGCATATTGAGATAAAAGATAGAGGACTAGTACAAAATAGGATAAGGTCAATGAAAACTTTATATTGACATCAGGCACACTATCAGGCTCAGCAGGGGTAGAATTAAACAGGAGACATCACTTTATCTCTAATAACTTCCTGAGGTTCAAACAGGAGGTGTACAGCTGATATATAGTCAATATTGATTTTTTTGTGACCTTGCCATACCTTTTTAAAGGTGTTTTAGATTTTCATGCCGTTTTGCTTTCAATACTACAATGTTTCTATAGAATTTTTTTTTTGGTTCGAGTGACTTGTAGAGAGCATCTGAGGATGGCCGCAGACTGCGCATGCGCTGTCAGTCTATTCACATAGCGAAATCCTTTTCCTCGTAAATTTCCCGAGAAAGGACCCAAAAAAAAAAAAAAAAAAAAAAAAAAATCAATGAACGTTTTTCCCAGTGGTGTAAAGAACCGGTGCAGCTCGGCTACATCCTCCACACCGGACAAACCGAGCTCTGGAAACATGTTCTCTTCAGACGCTTTGTCATCGACCGTGTGCTGAAATGGTGAGTAGCTTTAAAGTTTACGGTTCTTGTTGCACGAGCTACGGCAGCCCAAAAGTGGACGTTGATGCCGTTTCGGATGCTAAGAGTCTAACAGAGTCTTCGTACCTTCATTAATTCTGCATTTTTAATACTTGCAGCGGAGCAGTTTGGCTATACTCGAAGGGTATTTTCATGAAGTGTTTGTGTGGTTGATGGAGCATACATGTGCTTGGCACCCCCCACTCCCCGTGCCTGCAGTGTATTGTGCACTGCATTCAGTCAGTGACTTTTCTCTCAAGCTGTGATGAAAAAAAAAAAAAAAAAAAAAAATTGGGTAAACTGTCACCTTTAGGTTGGTGCACATCATGAGGTTCACACACATAAATAAGCACGTTTTCACAAAATGTCAATTTATACTTTTATTTTCATTGAAAACACTTATAACATCTCTGTTTGCTGTGATACACAGCCTTTAGGCTAGTAAATGGATGCTCTAAACTCTTGCCTGCCTGTGAAGTGGTGAAAATGTTTCATTATCAAAGTCACACTTTTCCATCTTCTTCTTCTTATTATAACATCAGCCCCCCCCCCCAAACTAAACAAAATATATTTTTATATACTGTTGTGTTACTTATAAGTTTAACTACTAAAGTTACAAACAAATGTGGTCTCCAGAGATAAAAAATTAACATACATGCTTAAATATAGTGTAAAAACCCATCTTTTCAGACTACATCTCAATGACTAAAGCTTTTGTCTTGCTTAAACAAAAACAATCAAAAAATCTTTAAGCGCTTGTGCTGCAGCAATGAACATACTTTTAGTTGTTTGCTTATAAACGGTGGAGTCCCAGTTTTGGATGATATCCAGATCTTTATCCTACATTGTTTGAATGCATTTATTGTTAGTCATTCGGACATAAACATCTGCCAAATGAATGTAATATAATGCTAACGCATGTTAGCAGGTCATAGGTAATTTTTTATAGGTAGTTCAAAACTGGAGTATATTTTGAATGTAAAGCAGAGCTGAGTTTTGTGCATCTGGGATCATTTAAGTTTGCCTCTAAATAAATAATGTCAGTGCTGAAGGATTTTTTTCTATCGTCTTAAATGTCTCTATGATCAAGATTCATGAACTGTACCAAGACACGTTCGTTGTTGCCATTAGGTGCAATGTAATGTATGAAAAGTCTATAGAGCAGTAAGACAAAGCACATGACGCCCCTTTGATGTATTATAGTCCCGGCTTTTGTTTGATTTAGCCCCGTCCAGCTGGGATCAGTCTCCTCTCTTCATATCACTTTACCTCACTTACATCCTGGGGGAAGACAGAAACTGGCTCTTGACAACCGAGAGCGCAGATCAAACCGTGAACATCACAATTAATCAAGATTGAGAGCATGAAACTCCTCAGTGAGTGAACACCTGGATCATAAATGATTGAGCTGTTTATTCTTGGTTCAGCTTGATAAGAGGCATCGAGCAAAAACTTCACTCCTCCCAGGCTTAACTTGAAAAGTTGCAAATCTTCTGTTGTGAAATGTTGCCATAGCGCATGCTTTATTATCAACTATTTATGGGGATATTGGTTGGGAATTGATAAACTAGATAGGTGTGGGGTTTTTTTTGGGCAAGTTTATCCCCCTAAAACCCAGGGGATGCTTCAGTGAATATGAGAAATAGCTGATTTCTCTATAATTGTAGTCCCATAAAAGGTTTTAAAGCCTCATTGTTTTGATCCATATTCGCAGACTGTAGGGTCTCTGTGAAGTTGTGCCAAGTTACTGTATCAACACCTGTTTGGAGTTGAAATAGTTGTCATAATAATGAACATCTGTGTACCACTGACTAGAAATTTTGTGTACACGCCTGAGTGCATTGTATGATTTTAACCACAAGGTGTCATATTTGATCACTGGCCTCAAGAGAATATTGGATGTCCCCATAAAGTGGTCCCTCTGGGTTTTTTTAAATTCATTGTAACTGTAGCTTCCTAGGAACTGTAGTGTTTGTTAATACATGTTTATCATGACTATATTGTTGATAAAGTAAAGAAAATGATATAGTGATGCTCCTTTATTGCCAAAAAGACATTGAAAACAGGATATTGAATTCAACTTTTTTTTTTAGAGACTTAGTTTATGAGTTATTTTTCATGCTCATTCTGCTCCTAGGAACTCAGCTCTAGTCCAGATGAAATATTTCCCTTTTACTATCTCTGCCTTTCCTGTTCCTGTTACTAGGCTTTTAACAAATTGACTTTTTTTGGAGGTGAGACAGACACCAGGCCTGAGAAAAGATGTGGTCAAGACAGGTGATATTTACCGTATGCTCCTTTTTTTCCACCGGGAACATTTGGCAGAGAGGATGTTTCTTTGAATCTGTCACAGAACATATTCTCTTCATCCACTTACTTGGACCTGTGCTCTGTCTTATCTCCTTCCAATAAAAAAAACTGGAAGGAAATAAAGGATTTGTACGAGTCAGAACTAGATGTCATAATCTGAAGCTTGTTTTTTGATGTGTGTGGGTTACTCATACAAAGTACACCCCCCCCCACCCCCCACCCCCCCAAGAATCATGTTTATGACTGCTCTCCCTCCCTGGATTGATTCATTCATGTACGGTTTATATGGGAGGGTTTTGTTTCACATTCATGGTGTTGCAACAACAAGAAGAGCCTTGGCCTGCGCTGCTGCAGGAAGGAAGGAACAGGTGTGGCAGCAGTAGATTTTTACATCCATATCTCGAAAACCACTCACTCACTTTTGCGAATAAGCTTAATTTGGGTATTATCTTGTGACAGGCTGTTGATTACACATACTTTTGTAAGACAATATTCTCACAGGCAGCGACTGGGTGTTTTGTTTCCTCATTTGCAGTCATAGTTGTCATTCGGTATGATTTATGTTTCGCAGAATTAGTGATTTTCTTCGGTGTGTGTCTGCACAGGTATAATATCACGAGCTGCTGCTGGCTTTGTTCTTACTTCAGCCCACAGGATGAAATAGGACACCCGGTGCATGAGAAGTTGCTCTGACCTCAGGGTTACGACTACAAGAGGTAGAGCACACAGCCCTTTTGCAGCTGAACCTCAAGCTTAAATCTAAGTATTTGCCCAGCTGTAAGCCTGTTTGCCCTCAACATGGCATGTGTTAACCGCTAATGAATGGAGTAATTAGAGCATCGTAGTGAATTAGGCTTACGTGATGTCATCTGTGTGCAGTTGTTACTGATCGTCAGCCTCCTTTGGCAGGTCGACATTACATCATGTCAGTGAGGCTTAATGGCTGTGGCTGACTGTAAGAAGTTTAATAAGTGAAGGTTTAATTTTTGTGTTGGAGACAGTTGTTAAAAGGTCTGCCATGTGTGGGAGGCATTGTGCTGCCAGGAGGCTCTGATAGTGATTGGACGGTGAACCGAATGATGAGTAAGCCTCTCTGGGTCCGCCTCCACATCCTCTTCACACATCCCCACACACAGTTACACACACACACACACACACACACACACACACACACACACACACACACACACACACACACTCCCGTCATATGCGAGCAGCCTTGCATACAAAAAAGTAACACAAAAAAAAACAAAACAACAAGGGAGCATGCTGTCACCCAACTAAACCTCAGATGGAGAGCTGTGCCCCCCCACCCCCCCACCCCCATGACCACCCCTCCTTCCCCATTCCTTGCCTTCTCCTGCTGAGTGCCTGTCTGGCATCCTGTCCTCACTGAAGGACATGGTCATTGACTTGCTTTATTAGGGACGCGTTAATGACGCGAGACCGCTGCCTGCCGTAGTGTGTGTGATCAGCGGGGCAGAGACAGATTACCTCACAGATCAGAGAGAGAGAGAGAGTGAGAGAGAGAAAGAGAGAGAGAGAGAGAGAGAGAGAGAGAGAGAGAGACAGAGACAG